AAAATGTTTCTGTAGCTGGACCTTTACCTGTGACACAGTTGAGATCTTATCTTCATGTATGTGTTTACATCCAAGCTAGTACCCAGTGTACAGTAATACAGTAATGTACAGTATACCTGATTCAAACATCATCCAGACTTCTGATTGATCAGTGTTTACAGGTTACAAGATGATGTATCCAAGTTTAAGTCATAACCTGGATGTCTTTAGACATAGACTACTTAATTACAATCAAATGACATTGAATGTGATAAACCATTATCCAAATGTGTAACTTGGATATTTGCAAATAATTGCAGGAGTACCACTGTTCTGGTATCCAGGTTCAGTGAATAGTTGGATTCCTCTGCATTGTATACTGTATTACTGAGATTATTTCTCTTCATCTTCCTGTCCACTGATTTGCAGAAACTGGGAGGCTGGTGACCAAGCCAAACTGTGTCAATTATTTTTTACACACGCCAAAACAACCTCAGACAAGTGGTTTCCTGTAAGGTGTGTAGGCAGCTAATAGGTTGAGCCATGTCCACATGTATACCATGAAACTCAAACAATTATTTAAAGTGATGAATCTGCACCAGTAAGAAGTCAGAATGTGAGCATTTTTAAGGAATTATCAAAGGCAAAAGTGTACATGAGTAAGTCATTCATTTAGACGTGCTGAGTTCAATCAAGGCTTTGTTCATCAGACTGCACAGGTCATCATGAGCTGTGTCATCGCTGTGTTGAGGTTTCCTGCTAACAACTCCACCCTGCCTGATATGCTGTGCTCTTTTTGTCTTGTTGCACTGATTATAACCACGTGAATCCTTCACTAACCGTTGTGCATCTGTAATTTTGCTCCGGTTTCCCAGCGGTGATCATAGAGTTCACCTGCATTTAGCTGGTGTTTGAAACACCTCCATGTTCAGCTCTTTTAACAATTCATCCTTCAAATCTGAACTGCACATCATCAATTTTCAACATTTTTTTTATCAGTGCACATGAAGTACAGTGACCTCTTGAGGTCTTTTGGTCTCTCTACATCCATCACTGTTTTAATTTTCTTCCTTATGGTTTCAGTTACTCTCTGAAACCTCACACAAACAAGGGCAAATCAGAGACTTTCTCAATCATACTAAATATTGTAAGAAACTATTTTATCTAAGGAATTCAAGGACATTAGGGTAACCTAACAATATGATTTACCATGGCTTATATATTTTCAGGAATATCATAGAGATGTGATGTTCAGTGTTAGCAGGCTCATACCGGCCATTGCCTGTTGCAAAGTATCTGCTTAAACTGCACATATTAGTCATATTTTTACAAGAATGCCATAGTGGTGGAAGAAGTATACAGATAATTTACCACAGTGTAAAAATACTCCATTACATGTATAAGTTGTCTCGTCTCTCGTCTCGTCGTCTCCCGCTAATCCGGATCCGGGTCGCGGGGGCAGCAGCCTCAGCAGAGAGGTCCAGACGGCCCTCTCCCCAGCCACTTCCACCAGTTCCTCCGGGAGAATCCCGAGGCGTTCCAAGGCCAGCCGAGAGATATAATCCCTCCAGCGTGTCCTTGGTCGACCTCGAGGTCTCCTCCCGGTGGGACATGCCCTAAACACCTCCCCGGGGAGGCGTCCAGGAGGCATCCTAACCAGATGCCCGAACCACCTCAACTGGCTCCTCTCGACATGGAGGAACAGCGGCTCTACTCCGAGTCCCTCCCGGATGACCGAGCTCCTCACCCTATCTCTAAGGCTGAGCCCGGCCACCCTGCGGAGGAAACTCATTTCGGCCGCTTGTACTCGCGATCTCGTTCTTTCGGTCATTACCCAAAGCTCATGACCATAGGTGAGGATCGGAACGTAGATCGACCGGAAAATTGAGAGCTTCGCCTTCCGGCTTAGCTCCCTCTTCCCCACAACGGACCGATTCAGCGCCCGCATCACTGCTGACGCCGCCCCAATCCGCCTGTCGATCTCCCGCTCCATCCTACCCTCACTCGTGAACAAGATCCCGAGATACTTAAACTCCTCCACCTGAGGCAAAGCCTCCCCCCCGACCTGAAGCGGGCAATCCACCCGTTTCCGGCTGAGAACCATGGCCTCAGACTTGGAGGTGCTGATTTTCATCCCAGCCGTTTCACACTCGGCCGCGAACCGCCCAAGCGAGAGCTGAAGGTCGGCGTTCGATGAAGCTAGGAGGACCACATCATCCGCAAAAAGCAGAGACGAGATCCTCCCGCCACCGAACCCAAACCCGTCCACCACCCGGCTGCGCCTAGAAATTCTGTCCATAAAAGTTATGAACAGAACCGGTGACAAAGGGCAGCCCTGGCGGAGTCCAACCCTCACCGGGAACAGGTCCGACTTACTGCCGGCTACGCGAACCAGACTCACACTCCTTTGGTACAGGGATTTAATGGCCACTAACAAGGGGCCATCCACCCCATACTCCCGGAGTGCCCCCCACAGGGAGCCCCTGGGAACACGGTCGTAAGCCTTCTCCAAATCCACAAAACACATGTGGACTGGATTGGCAAACTCCCATGCTCCCTCCAGCACCCTAGCGAGGGTAAAGAGCTGGTCCACAGTTCCACGCCCAGGACGAAAACCACATTGCTCCTCCTCGATCTGAGGTTCAACTATCGATCGGACCCTCTTTTCCAGTACCCTGGCATAGACCTTACCAGGGAGGCTGAGGAGTGTAATTCCACGGTAGTTGGAACACACCCTCTGGTCACCCTTCTTAAAGATGGGGACCACCACCCCGGTTTGCCACTCCAAAGGCACTGCCCCCGATGTCCACGCAATGTTGCAGAGGCGTGTCAACCAAGACAGCCCTACAACATCCAGAGCCTTGAGATACCCAGGGCGGATCTCATCAACCCCCGGGGCTCTGCCACCGCGCAGTTGTTTCACTACCTCGGCGACTTCTGCCCCGGAGATTAGATCATCCATCCCCAGGTCTCTTGGCTCTGTTTCCTCCACGGAATACGTGTTGGTGGGATTGAGGAGCTCCTCAAAGTATTCCTTCCACCGTCCTACTATATCCTCAGTTGACGTCAGCAGCTCCCCGCCCCCACTGTAAACAGTGTGAGCGAGTTGCCGCCTTCCCCCCCTGAGGCGCCGGACGGTTTGCCAGAACCTTTTTGGAGCCGATCGATAGTCTTCCTCCATTGTCTCACCGAACTCCTCCCACGTCCGAGTTTTTGCCTCAGCAACTGCCGCAGCTGCACTCCGCTTGGCCCGCCGGTACCAGTCAGCTGATTCCTGAGACCCACAGGCCAACCACGCCCTGTAGGCCTCCTTCTTCAGCCTGACGGCTTCCCCCACCGCCGGTGTCCACCAGCGGGTACGGGGGTTACCGCCACGACTGGCCCCAGCTACCTTGCGGCCGCAGCTTGCAACAGCCGCCTCAACAATAGCAGAGCGGAACAAGGCCCATTCGGACTCAATGTCCCCCACTGCCCTCGGGACGCGGTCGAAACTCTGCCGGAGGTGTGCGTTGAAAATCATCTTGACGGGTTCTTCCGCCAGGTTTTCCCAGCAGACCCTCACAACCCGTTTGGGCCTGCCAGGTCTGCGCGGCGTCTTCCCCCGCCATCTGATCCAACTCATCACCAGGTGGTGGTCGGTTGACAACTCTGCTCCTCTCTTCACCCGAGTGTCCAAAACATGCGGCCGCAGGTCTGATGAAACGACTACAAAGTCGATCATAGACCTGCGACCTAGGGTGTCCTGGTGCCATGTGCACCTGTGGACATCCTTATGCTTGAACATGGTGTTAGTTATGGCCAAGCTGTGACTAGCACAGAAGTCCAATAACTGAACTCCGCTCGGGTTCAGATCAGGCAGGCCGTTCCTCCCCACCACACCCTTCCAGGTCACGCTGTCATTGCCCACGTGAGCATTGAAGTCTCCCAGTAGGACAATGGAGTCCCCTTTCGGGGCACTTTCCAGCACCCGTCCCAAGGACTCCAAACGTGGGTTCCGGAGCCGACGCTATGTGTCGAGGTGAGGCCGACTATATCTAGCCGGTATCGCTCGACCTCTTCCACAAGCTCCCGCTCCTTCCCCGCCAGAGAGGTGACGTTCCATGTTCCACAAACCAGTTTCCGTAACCGAGGATCGGACCGCCAAGGCCCCCGCCTTGGTCTGCTGCCCAATCCACAATGCACCGGATCCCTCTGACTCTTCCTGCAGGTGGTGAGCCCACTGGGAGACGAACCCATGTAGCCGGTTCGGGCTGGGCCCGGCCGGGCCCCATGGGCTAAGGCCCGGCCACCAGTGTATAAGTTGTATATTCAAAAATTAAGAAAAGTAAAGATTTATCAGCAAAATCATTTTAAAATACTGTATCAATTATGCAGCAGAGTGAACCCTGTGTATGCAACATGATTTCATTATATTACTGATGCACTAACATGTAAACTGCTTTTTCATTTTTGCTAATATCAACTACCTTAAGTAGGCTTCTGTTGGGTGGTTTATTCTACAATAATGCATAATTGTTCAAAATGGTATGTAAAATCTATGAATAAGTATAGATTTATATTTTTAATGTAAGTATTCTTTATACAAGTATAAGTATAAAACAGAAGTTTGAAGGGCTTTTCTTTTCATCTCATGTACACAACAGGATGTAAACTAACAAGCATGCAAAACAACAAAATAAAAATTGACAATACAGACAATAAAAACAGAATTTGCTAAATCAAAAGGAAGTAATGTGTGACCTATGATTGCTATGTAACTGCTGTTAAATGAATTTAAATTCATTGTGCTAGCCAGTGGATGATCCTACTGCACACAGTGTGAAGAATGTAAATGTGCCAACGTTGAGTGCTGGTCTATAGATCTTTGAACTAGAAGCGTGGACGGAAACGCAGTTTGCTGATGTCTGTTTTTCCTCCGTGTGAAACACACTGGAGCTTTAAATGAGTCGGACCTCCCAAACCTACTCCAGACATACCTCTAACAGGCGGGTCCGACCTCCTTTTGTCCCGCCCTCTGCTCCGCCGCTGCCCTCTCCTCTCCTGAACGCTGATGTGTTACTAACTTCTGCCATCAAGTCCGAGAAAATGTTCAACTTCGGATCAAAGTTATTGTTGCTTTTCCTCCTGGCCTTCCCCTGTGGACTCGTTTCCATCGGTGAGTCGTATTTTTTCTGCGTTTGAAACACATTGTTCATGTCGCCGCCTCAGTTTGGTTTAGAGTTTTTAAAAAAAAGTTAATAGTCTAACGTATTGACGTGGCACAGTCGCAGAGCTGCACACAGGCAGCTTCACGTCTCCACCACCGCTTTTCTAACATGGACGTATGGACGTTTTATTCATCATTTCATCCAGTGTGATGAAAGAGTTGTAACTCATCGCTTTTGCCCTGAAATGAATGAAAACGACGGTCGCCTACCGGCTGCTGCCGTCCAAGTACAGAAGAATCACCTCCGTCATTAAATGTGAAGTTAAATTTCTCCCTGTGAGCTGTAGAGATGATTATTTATTTTAAAAAAATATAAAGTAGTTTTGGGATGCAGCAACGGTTGACGGCTCCCTCTCGCTGGGACACGTCACCATAGATAAGATGATGGGTTTGAACGTTTCTCTCAGCCTGTGTTTTCCCGCTGACTTACATTAGTGTGGGGATTTGCACTAAACTGCTGCCGTTCATTTTAAATTGGCAACAAACAGGCTGGTTCACTACAGACAGGGAAATAACAGCAGTATCAACAATATCAGTGGTTCCAATGTGTGAAGACTAGAGTTATCCATTCATTTTTAATTAGTTTAAGTTTTAACCACATAAATAGCTTGAAAACATCGTTTTTACAAACATTTAATTTATTCACTGGTTTGTTTTTACTTTTTGGCATAGTTATTTGCTGAATATTTATATCTGACTGGTGTGTGACCCTACCACAAACCAAAGATATTCAGTATAAATTGTTTATAAGGGTGAATACTACTTTTCTTTTACACATTTTCACAGCCACTCTGGACTTTCTCCACAAATAAGCAGGCTAGGGTGATATTGACATATATAATTATAATGTGGTGATATTTTAGGGCTGACAGAAAGAAAAATTCTTAGTAATGTGGATATGATGATCATGTTCATTGTCCATTTTTACTCACCTGTAGTGCTGCTACCTGAAGAAATATGCTGTAAAAAGAACAGCTTTGAACAAGTCAAGTCATTAACATATTATGACAACAACCAAAATCCCTGATGATATCTACACTTACAACATTAACTCTACAACCATCACCCACCCCCTTAAACATGCAACTTTCACAAAACTGTTGTGTCTTCCGCCCCCATGCAGGCCATGTGTCCGCAGAGTCAGACTCTGCTGAGGACATTGCTGAGGACGCTGATGCTGCAGTAGATGAGGAGGAAGATGAGGAAGAGGTCCTTGTTGAGGAAGATCAGATACAAGCCTCAGTAAGTATCTTCGATCATACAGCAATGTGGCAAAACATAGAGTTTGCATGCAGGTGGTTACATCACAATGTCATGTTCGTCCTCAGGAGGGTGAGGAAGATGAGTCCGATGAAGCTGCTGACAAGCTGTTATCTTCTCACCCTGATGCCGACACAACCATCATCTTCACGACAGGAGAAGGTTGGTCCAGGTCTTGAGTTTTCACAGTGTTTACGCTCACGTAGAAAACAGAAGCAAAAAGTGCGTACAGCACGGTAGCTTGCTTTTGTTCTAAGGAGTAAAATAACAGGCAACTGTGTGGCTTTGTTAGTACACCGTACACCTGACGTTTTAAATGTATTTAATATTTATTTGTATCCATCTTAAATTTAGAGTTTCCTGCCAATGAAATTGTGAGGTTCCTGGTGGGTTTCACCAACAAGGGGAGTCAGGATTTCACCGTTCAGTCGTTGGAGGCCTCCTTCCGGTATCCTCAGGACTTCCAGTTCTACATTCAGAATGTGAGTTTGATCTGAACTGAAACCACCAGCAAACATTTCTCCACCTTTTCAGTTGGATACATAACAAAATAATTTTAAAAAAAAATCAATAATGTGTTGGTTAACTCACACTCTTTTATAAATTATAAAAAAGGGAAGAACATTATTCTAAAAATATTCATCTGAATTATATAAAGGGCTTATAAAAGAAACATTTCTGGTGAATTCAAAGCAGTACGGCCACATAAAATCAGTGGTGTGTTATAATTGTTTTTTACATTTTTGTTTTTTTACTTTTGACTGATTCAAGACAAATAAAGTCCACAACATTTATATTTTAATGCATGTATATGTAAGTGTATATTTATATTGAAAAGAAAAGACCGATGTTTTCTGTCTGCCCTGCGTCTGAACACAATAAATACTCCTGAAAAGAATTACCATGTCATAGTGTAATACAGTAGCTGAGTTTTTTTTTTTCTATGTGTGTGTTTGTAGTTCACAGCTTTGCCCTTGAACACCGTGGTGCAGCCCCAGGCTCAGGCCTCCTTTGAGTACTCTTTCATCCCAGCTCAGCCCATGGCTGGTCGTCCATTTGGTCTTGTTATCCTCCTCAACTATCTTGACACTGAGGTAAAAAAAAGAAATAAAATAGTTTTTCATTATTTAAATTAATTAAAAAAATGTTTGTGGTTGGTTGTTGGTGAGGATATGTTGAGGTTGACTTTTGAAAGAGAGAAGATACAGTGTGAGGCCGTGACTGTCATGATGCACATGAAAATTAAAACTTAAAGAAGCCACAGTCAGCAAAGCAGCTTCTCTTTAGTCATGTTTTTATAACTGGCACCACTGGTGACTCTGTCATTATTTTCTCCCTGCGAAGTTTTGACAGCTGTTTCCATGCTATTAACAAATTATGTGATAAATGTTGAGTTACATTGTCAGTATGGTTTTTTAATGAGAAGTTTCAAGAGGGTTCCTGAAGGTTGAAGCTATTTCTTTACTTATAGTAAATGTTCACTTTGTAATCTTTCTTTAGGGCAGCGTGTTCCAGACTGCCATTTACAACCAGACTGTCACCATCACTGAGAAAGAAGAGGGACTGGACGGAGAAACGTAAGACTTTCTTTTACTGGGTCTATGTTGTATCCTGATATGTGCATACTCGTAAATGAACATGTAGATGCCAAAATGGAAGGAAGAAGATGACTTATAGCAAAGTGACTACATCAGAGTGGGCAATAGATGGACCTATTCAACCATTTTCTTTGCATCTCACTTTAGCGTAAATAATGTTTAACTCAAATTATTTTTGCCCACATTTTACTTAACTTTTTACTTATTTGCCATATCTCTTGAAGCCCTGGCATCTCTTTAAGGCTTCATAGTACCAGCTCTACCAGAATATTGCAGCACATGTAAGAACCTGTAAAAGAAGGTGTGAAATTGGCACAAAGAGATTAGTTGTCAGAGCTCTGCTGCTGGTGCACGATGCAGGAACTGTTGCCAGTCTTTATGCTACAGGTTTACACTAAAAAATGCACTTGAATTTGCTTTTGAAGGCAGCCGTTTGCTTGAATAGCGCTCTGATTAGATTTGCATCCATTATTTAGTAAGTAAACTGCAGAAGGTCATAAAACTGTTTTCATACCACCTCCCTCAACTAGGGATAAAAAAAAACTCTGCTTGGCTGCTTTATGTGTTGAAATAAATTATACAAGAAATAATAAATTTCAAATTAAATGGCTGCATATTATGGCCGTGCATTCTAATAGCTTTGTAAGTGAAGTAAATTGCAGTTAATTGAAGGTCTAAATTGAGCAGTTCAATAAAAAACACTACTGCTTGTTGTTTTCTTATTACAGAAGTGATTTTGTTTTACTTGCAGAATGTTCATGTACGTGTTCCTGGTTGGACTGGTGGTCCTGATGCTCTTTGGGATGTACCAGGTCCTGGAGTCAAGGACGGTATGTGTTTGTCTTCAATAAACCGTTGTGTTTTTTATGTTAGGATATGTATGTTTGATCTACTCAAGAAATTTCAATCAGCTTTGCCAATGCAAATTTAATAAGATATTTTCATGTGTAAATCCAACAGCAGTAAATAGATAATAAAGTGTGCATTAAGGTTAATAGATAAAATAGTTTAAAAATAACTTTGAACCTGTGTTTTACAGAAAAAGAGGATGCCAGTGAAAATAGAGAAGGGCACTGGTGGGATAAATGATGTGGACATCAGCTGGATTCCTCAGGAGACTCTCAATGTCATGAGTATGTTCGTTTTATTATCGCAAGTAGTAACAGACTCATTTCTGTTGCTCTTCATGAAGCAACACAAATAGCTGATCTTTACATCCTGTCTTACAGACAAGGCTTCCCCTAAAACATCTCCACGGAAACGAACCAAGAGGGCAGCTGGAGCAGATCAATAAAACTGCCCATGTTCCATCCATCATCATGCTGTTTCCATCCATATCATATTATTGATTACCTTTCACAATGAGTCAGCATTACTGGAATACAATTTCCAGCAAACACCAGTGTGTTAAAGATGTTTGTATGGATCTCAGCCTCTCAGACGCTAACAGGACTCAACTACAGTTCATTTTTAAAGCGACTTTTTTTATCTGTATGTGTGTGTGCGTGAGTGTGTGTGTGTGCGTGAGTGTGTGTGTGTGTAAGGTGAGAAAAGAGAATAAAATAAGTCATTAAAAATCATGGAAAAACAAAAGGGATGTGGTATAAGATGCCCCCCCCCCCCCCCCCCCCCCCCCCCCCCCCCCCCCCCCCCCCCATGAAAGCTGTTAAGCCATAATAATTTCATTGAAGATTAATTTGTTATCTTCAGGATAAAATAGATTTTATGACTTCAAAACATTCATATTTAATCCTCCTCTCTATCTTGTAAACACCATTGTGCCTTACCTGTACTGTGACTGTGATCCCCCATAATCAACCCCCCCCCATTTAACATACAGCCACATACAGTCACATACAGTATGGCTGGAGGTTTGTAAAACTTTGAGTTGGATGTGGTATTTGTTTTACAGTGGGGCAATGGCAGCTGCAAGTCTAACAAACATTCAAACAGTGTTCTCTGGAGGGTTCTGCAGGTTAATTTATCTGTTTCATCTCCTTACTGTTGTAAGAGGCTAGGTGAAGCATTTGGAACTCTTGCTAGGTGCTAACGGTGCAGTCAGTCTCAGATTGCAGGCCATTATTTGTGATGAAAGACCTTCTGAACAACAATAAAAGGGTGAACAAAATGTTTTTTTGGTCCTGGCAGTTGCTCTCTTAGAAACTCATTTCTTCATGATTATACTGTTGTCATGTGCAGTCTGTCACAGTTTGTGCTTCATGCCGCAATCTTATGTACTCAGTTTCAGTAAAATGACAACTGTGGATGGTGTTATTTGAGGAAGTTAGGATGAAAGTGACTTGAACCACAAGATTTTGTAAACCTTTTGGTAAGGCTTTATTTTCATGGGTTTGTAAATTCCTAATTCTTGGAAATTATTATGAAATTAAACTATAGAATTTGTCACTATAACTAAAAACGTATCAAAAGAGGTACAGTATCGTTGATTCCAAATAAATGATAAACTTAAGTAATCTAGTCTTTCAGCCAGTTACATCACTTCAGCTGGACTTTCACTGTGCAGACCAAACTATAGTTTTGAAACCAATCATGGTCCAATGAGCAACTTACAGAATTATGACTTCATAACTTAAAACCTCCAGCACATACATTGAGAAGTAAGAGACATCTTGTGTCCAGCAGTTAAACTTTTGAATTATAGTTGCATATTCATAGATTATGATTTTTTTAATGAGGGAGCTGCAGAAGTTTTACATTTTAAGAATAAGTAAAAAAAAAAAAAAAAAAGAAGAGAGTTAGACACAAATGATCCTTTTCTAAAAACATGTCAGACGGGGCTCTTTAAACTACAACCAAATGGGATAGCGGTAGCTTTATGATTCATGTGTGAATATAAATATAACTTACTGTAAGTATAAAATGGAGATCCTGCAAAGAGACAGCATGGGAGATGAAAAAAAAATAATAAAAACGTGACTGACTGGTGGCAAGCAAGGCACACTTTGAGAGACCTCCCTGTGTTGTGTGAGTGTTGCAGGAGGGTTGCACGGCGGTTCCTGCTCGGGGAGGTAGGAGCTGTCCGGTGCTGAGGGGGGAAGATGAGCTCAGCGCGCGCGCCGGGGGGCAGGTAACGTCAGCAGTCGGCCGGAGCAGGGAAAGACTGAGCATACACACCCACCAAGTGTTTATCGCCGGTTAATCACCGAAACACATTAAGCATGGGCAGCTAATCAGCTCCGTGTGACTCAGCGCCGCTTTTCCATTCCGATCCACGAGTCCCTCGGCAGCATCCCGCGCCCTCCGCTTGGCTTGAAATGGGATGATATGGGATTTTTCATGTCGACGAAGATCGGGGGGATTCTTGCGTTTGCCTTGGGTAAGTGCTCCTCCGTGGTTTCGTTTGGGCTGCGAGCCCCTCTGGATGGTCTGACAGGGAAAACTGCCTTACATCGTTTTATCTCCCTGCATCAGAAATGTCACTGCTGTAATTGTTATCTGCATTCATCTCCATCAGTTTTGCATGATGGTTATGAGATCTGTGCCGTGGCCAGCTGCTTCTAGTATATACCCAGCGACCATAGATACTGAGTGTCTATACTTAGGTGATAGTGTGCAAGCTTTTAGACATGCAACATTCAAAAATAAAACCCCTCAAATAGATTTTTCTTTCCTTATATGTCACTTTTACGAATATTTGGAGCTTTAATTTTTGCCTTGTCCTTTTGCAAATTGTTCTGTTGTGGACATGTTTTAGCATTTAATTTGCAAATAGCTCTGATTAGAACATTGCACTCCATGAGAAAGAAATGTATGAGCTGCAGTGGTCAGGACTATTCTCTGTGGTAACATCTGCTTCACAGCCAGCCGCCCACTGACATCTGTGAAGTTCAGATGCAAAATCTTACATTTACATATGAACATGGATGTTAAAAATACTTACATGTATTTATGCAATATAAAAAAAAGAAAGAAATTGAATGGAAAATAAGTTTTGTGCATGATCATGAGCAGTGTTTGGGGCTACTGTTGGAAGTGTGGAGATGCTAAAGGAAGAGAAATCAGATTCAAACTATTTCGAACATAGGGATACTTACAAAAGGCCAGAAATCCTAAACAGGACTTTACAGAATGAAAGCAAAGACTTTTGATAACTTTTCTTGCACATTTGTAAGTGGACATACTGATGCTACTGATTCATCTTTCAAACTTGAAAGAAAATGAAGGATCAAACATCACCAGTTCACAAAGTCTGGTCAAATTAGCATTTACTTGTGTCTGTTTTGCAGTATTCCTGTCCCTCACAGTGTCAGGAGACTCAGCAGATGTGAAGTGTGAGAAAATTTATAAGGACTTTTCTGATTGTGTCCTGGAGCTGGGAGAGAGCATGGACAACTATCAGGAGAACGTGACCAGTGAGAGGGGAGTGGCAGCCGTGTGCAGGTAAGAATAATTCTACCAATAAGAGAGTGTGCGTGAACAGCATGCAGCACCTATTTGAACACACAGGGCATCGCTCTTATAAACACCAAATTCAGTCTGTAGGATTTTATTTGAACCAAACACTGTGCACTGTCAAAGAGGGTAAAAACTGCCATGACAGGTTCGAATAAAAAAAACAGTCAAAAGCACTGATCTATAGCACTGTGCATAAAATTGTCCCTCAGTTCAATTTGTAGGAAATAGTGCATGATTGAGTGGAAAAATATAGACGGATACAGTATGAAATCTGCAACTCCTGACAAAATATGGAGAGAAAAAGAGAAGATGCTATAATCTCAGAGGGAGAATGGAGAAATGAATGGTGCTGAGACACTGAGCCATTGTACTAAATAATTTATGACTTCGCTGCAGCAGTAATGAAATTCCAGGGACGTTTTTTGTCATTGTTACTGCACGCACTCTACAACCCCAGTACAGTATATTGAAGACAAAGATTTACACAAAAACCTTCTGTTGAAAATTGCCCGCTTGCAATATCATCTGTGATATTGTTTCACTCTCTGATGCAGTTGCCATGGCAATTAAAGCTCAGTTTGACTTACTTGAAGCCATCGTAGCCATCTGAGCGATAGATTATTGGCAAACAAATTAATCCATGACAGCCATTGCACGTCTGCATGCTGTAGCCGGGATGAATTCTGAGTGAAATGGCAGACGCAACGTTGATCTGATGATCCTTTGTTTGCCACCAGCCACTGGGAAGCTTTCCATACATGTGCCCTCACAGCCCTGTCCGACTGTCAGGAGGAAGTCAGCTCCATCTGGGAGACGCTGAGGCAGGACTCCAGGAAGATGCGCTTCCAGGGAAGTCTGTTCGACCTGTGCAGCCCCAGCTCCGCTCCCAGCATAAGTTCACGTCTCGCTGCACTTACCCTGCCACTGATGCTGATCATGACTGGGCCCAACTGGTCCTCTGTATAGATGGGGTAACGGTGGGGGGGGGGGTTGAGAGTGAGGAGATGGGAGAGGTAAGGAGGGCCTCACATTCCCCAGGGTTCAGTCCTCCTGAGTTCAAACTTAAAGCCAAGGATTTAAGAGAGACAAATGTTTTAATAAGGATTATTTTTGACACAGAGCCGTGGATGCCTGTGGCAAGCCAATCAATATTTGCTGTGATGAATAATGTTTGAAATCCTCTCAAATACTTCAGCTTGATCTTCCCTTATGTCTAAAAACTGGTGGAGTAGTGAAGAAAATGACATTTCTGCCAACTTATCAGTCCAGGCAAACTAAAGCAGACACTCCAAGTATTCTAATGATTTCAGATACAATGTGACCAGAGTCAGATCAGTGACTCCTGTGGCTCTGGGTTACCACTAAACAAGGGGTGGACACAATACTGTGAATACCTAATGTAAAACCCACCTGCAATGAATACTCTTTTTTTTAGTTTTATAGAGATACAAGTCTGTTGACAATTATTATATTCAGTTTTCAACTCTGAGGTCATTTCTAAAGCAGTATTTGCAGAGCACAGGTTTTCATTATATTACAGTAATGTATTCCTGTTATTGTGTCCACTCCCTGCACCATTTATTGTATGCTTTTATCATGATAGTTAAAGGAATAGTTCAGCATTTTGGGAGTCAGCTGAGAAGGTCGATAACACTCTCATGTTTGTACGGTAATTATGAAGCCATCGCCAGCAGCCATTCAGCTTAGTTTTGCACATGGCTGCTCCCAACCAAGAAATTGTTCAACACAAAACTTGTTTTTGAGCTTTTGCACATATTCAACAAATGATATATACAATATTAATTGGAGAGCTTTAGAGGCACGGGTAGGTAGATTTTGTTACTTTTGGACAAAGGTAGTCCTAGCTGTTTTCAAGTCTTGTGCAAAGCTAAGCTAACCAACCGCTGGCTGTTTCGTATTTAGTGCAGACATGAGAGTCTTATCAATTGTCGTACCTAATTCTCTGCAAGGAAGCAAATGACATATTTCTTAAAATTACTGTAATAAAGAGTTACTGTACTGTACTGTACATTAGCACTACAACAAAAGTTTTAATCTTCATTTAATTTGTATAAATACATCCAAACCATCATGATATAATTAGCTTCCACATTACAGGAGAAGATTTAAAGGGGTACTTCACCAAAAATAACAGCAATATTTTAGTAAATCTTAGCTCTTAGTCATTACACATCTATTTGAATTAGTTGTCAACTTACTGATCAATGAACCAACCTAAAGACCAAACCAGACATTAATCTTATGGAACTAATGACACCAAAGCTAGCAACAGTTCAGATACACTTTAGGTGAAATGCACCTTTAACCTGTTTCAAATTGTAGTAAATGTTTGTGTAAGTGACAATCAAGCCACTTGTATGAAACCTTTGACCCCTTTTCCCCTACAACATTTCAGCCCACCGTGGCTGATGTTGCACGGCTGCTATAAAGACACCAAAAACAGACATCTGACACCTGGCATCACATGTTCACTCCTCCAGCTCCTCTCTCGCTCTCTCAGAGCCTCGCCCCACTCTTTGGTTCAATCTTCACTCAATCATCAGACTTCTGACCCATTGATGTATGTGAAAGAAAAGAAATCTAGAGTGTGAATGTTCAGTGTTGTCTCATAAATTTTTGTTACATGTTTTGTGTGAAAGTGCTCTACTGTAGTAAACGCAATATAACTAGAACTTTACTTCTTTCTCAAAGTACTGCAAAAAACACAGTAGTTTATGCAGGACACAGAGACTACACAGGGATGGATTCTATCACAGAGATTAGATTTTCAAAGACAATAATTCAGCCAGAAGTATAATGAAAATTCCCCAAATTATCATATTTTAATACTCATACACAGATTTTATTTAACTTTAAAAACCTATAATTAATGTCTAATAAAGTTAAATTATATGCAATAGAAAAACGAAACTGCTATAATACAAAACAATTGCTTTCCATATATCATCCATATAATTTATTTTTTATTAATTATATTTCAATTACAGGTCTACCAATTAATGCATTGCATAATTATGTTATCAAACAAAATACAGATTCCAAACTCTGCTGCTCCATTTATCTGTTTCATGCTTTTAATTGGTGTATTTTGGAGAAACTTAGGCTTGATTTTACAACACACCCATAAATTTCAAAAGCTGTTATTAGAAAGAAAAGTATAGTGAATCTCATCGACAGAAAACAGCTAATGGTTACTACAGTTTGTAGCAAAATTGGCATCATTCCCACTCAGTCAGCTCATTTAGCAAATATACCATATACATTATCATTACTTGTAATGGTGTTTTAATCACTTTGAATTAATTTTTTTTTTTTTACAACAAGACTAGGTCAAAACCTTGTTCGTGCCTGGACTGTGTATTGTTAATGAGCGAACTGGAGGACATATTTGAAAACTGTTGTGGAATCGCTGTTAACAATTGACATCATCACATCACGTGTTTGCATTTTCCCTAGTGTCACAGGTTTCAGTTCTTTATCTGTTTGCTTCTCCTCTACTCTCTTTGCTCACACATATACAGTTTTTCAATACAGTTGAATTCCCATTAAAGCTTTTCTCATTCACATGTTTTTCTGTTTCTGTTGCCAGACAAAGGAACAAGTTGGAAATAGTGACTGAAACACAGCCCATCAAGGATGAATGTTAACCAGCAGTCACTTCCAAGCAGCAGCTCTGCACTGCTAGAAGCCTGATTTTATAACCACAATGACAAAATCACCAAACCCATGAGTTAAAATAAACAGCTGTGCTGTACAATATTTACTTGTAAAATGATCACTCCCCCAAAGAAAAGTTAGTAAGCGACAGAAGATCTTTCTTATTTTGTCTCTGAAACGGCGCACAGACTCTATCTGGGATCCACAACTGTTTTCAACTACTGTATTTCCTCAAAAAGTGACTGGGGAACCAGGGCAGCAAGGTGACCACCCATAACGAGGTGTAGCCCACAGTTGGCACCAATACACTAGGTTTATACAGTCTTGTTTAAAAAAAAAAGTCTCTAAATCTTGCAAAAAATGCACTAAATTGTCAACACCACAGGCTGTAAACGCCCCCTAAAAGAAACTGTTTGTGCCAATTCATTTTGAAAGAGCAACAGCCAATGGGGAAACTCCAACTCACTTCACATGGCAATCACTTGCCCAATGGTGGAAATATGATCAGTCAGTCAGTCACATTCACAACTTTAGGGCTGGCCCCGCTGTCCAGCCAAAAGTGTGACATTTCTAATTTTATGGCAATGGACACTGAGATTCATAGAAAATTAAAAATTATTGAGCAATAGCATTGATTTTTGTTTGTTTTTCCAAAACTATGTTACCATTTGTACATTTCCTTTAATTATTATGGTCTTAACAGGCATCATCAATATATGGGTGATTTCTGTGGTCCTGAATATTTTCCTCATTTATTCTTTATCACAAATGCATGACAATTTTTGTGGCAGTCTGTTGATTTTAACTTGGACAAAGCGTACAGTGGTATTGACCTGTGCATGAAGTTTCACTTGCTCTTCAATGTATCAGCATCATTTCTTATGCAGTTTCATTAGCCACCCATCCCCCACTGCATTAGCATGTGTGTTCTAGTTGTTTCAATTTATTTCATGTTACAAGAGTGGTAGCATCATGTCATCCATTGTGTGTCTGGTGGTGAGAATAAAAAACCAGTTGTGGTGTCCTCCAAGCATGAGCAATATGTATGGTCACTTCTTTAAAAGAGGACTCTTATATCCTCATATGCTGTTGAAGAAAGCATGACAATGACTGTGTTATCATGAGCATTATACCATAAAAAATAACCCTAATGTCAGTTTAAACATGGAAAGAACTCCTGAATGTAAAAACAAGTTCAGTATCCATGTGAGTTTTTCAGTTTACCAATAGAAAAGCACACTATTTACAAGACTGTATAAAGCAATATATGGCAAAGTAATGTGTTTGTAATAATAAAGCACCATGTTTAAAATATATGTGTGTGTATGTGTGTGTGTGCATCACCTTCAGCAAAATACTGGATAGCAATGATCTTAAAACAGAAAGTGGTAAAACAGTGGAGCGTTTAATTGATGCAGTAAGCCCTCTGCTGTACAATTCATCTACTACTGACTTTCTGTTTTTAGTCCTCCCTGAAGCAAAGTGTTGGTAATGAGGATCGCAACCAGCATTTTTCAGCTCGTTAGTGCTCTCCCATCTGCTTCTTTCCACCTGGACACTTCCAGCACAGGAAATGGAGGGAGAAAATGAGGGATCAGGGCCCAGGGTGGAAAACCTTAGGAGAACTACAGACACGATCGGGGTGTGCCCCTCATTAGAGGATCCATCTTTGACGTATAAAGCATAATGGCCTTTTATTTTTTTCACCTACACTTTCCTGACTGAGATCTTCACTTTTTTTCAATCAATCCAAACTGGTAGAGTTTTATTAAACAGCATATCTAGAGAAGTACTTGCATTGTGCCAAAAGTTCTCAATGCTGGTGTAAACACCCTATATTTAAATCTTCAGAGAAAAAAAAAAAAGTACACTTTAACTGATGTTTCCACACTAGAAACAAGTCAGAGAATATAATTACATGAAGGGGAATAGGTCCATCTCTCGTGTTTTTTGTACAGTATTTAAATACATTATAAAAACAAAAGTTATGTTTAAGACTCAAAAGGTGGCATTGCATGTGAAAACGTCCAGTGCAGCCATTGTTGAGTTGAGTTTGAGTTGAGTTTGAGTTGAGTTTGAACACAACTTAAAAGGAATAGTTTGACATTTTGGGATTTGCGCCTATTGCTTTCTTGCTTAATGTTAGAAACAAAGATTGATACCACTCGTGTGTATGGGAAATATGAAGATACACCCAGCAGAAGATTAGTTTGGCTTGGTACAATAACTGAAGACAGGGGGGAGGGCCTGTCTGGTTCGGTACAAAGGTAATGAAATCCACCTATCAGCACCTCTAAAGCTCCTGAATTATCACTTAGTATATCTTGTCTGTTTAAGTCACACAAAAATCAAGGCGTCATATAAATAAGGTGTGTTATCACGATGACAGTTTTTGCACAGATTAAAGGATATTTGTCGTTTTTGCTATTGCTAGATAGCCAACATTAGCAACAGCTGTTTACTTACAAGTCTAGAAGAAACATGCTCACTTTCCAATACCGAGTCAATGTAGCATCCAGTCCGACCTGAAGAAATAGGGCTCTTCTGTTGGCAACACAACAATGGCTGAAGGTCTTGGCAAGACTGGTAAGTAAGCAGCTGTTCATACTAACATTGGCTACATAGCAATAGCAAAACTTAAAAATAGCTCCTTTAAACCAATGAGAAATACTGTTACACAGTGAGATTCAAAGATGCTGGTAGAGGGATTGTGTTTACCTTTAAGCTGAGCCAGGCAAGCCATTTCCCATGTTTCCAGTGTTTGAGCTAAGCTAACCAGCTTCACATTTACTGTACAGACATGAGCGTGGTATCAATCCTCTCATCTAACTCTCTGCACCAAAGTGCATTTCCCAAAATGTCAACTAGTCCTTTAAATATCCGCCCGTGCACCATAATAATGGACTTAAACTACACTTTAGAAACCTGATTTCAAAACAAGACACTGCATATTCCACACTATCACCACACAGAATGTAAGGATATGAGCATGTGTTACAGTTGCTGTAATATTAAGCAGTTAATTTAGACAGTGTTTCAAAAGCCGTCACTAAATGATAAAGCTGACATTGTTCCAGAAACCTTCAGTTCTGCACATTTTGAGGACTTTTCATGTAACGTCCCCACAAACAGTGACAGTCCTTTTAGAAACAAAGACACAGCCTGCTGTCAGAACACAGCTGGTGGCTGACAGACTGTCCCCAAAGTGGCCACCTTGTCTGCATAGTACATCATGGCATAAAGAGAGGGAAACAAACAACACTAGCTGTGCAAACTGCTGTACAAGCTTGACAAGGAAGGCCTAGAATGAGCAGTATGAGGCTAAATGTACAAACTTTATCCCGAGAGGTAAAAAATAAGCCTGATTTCAAACCTCTGACAGATTCTGTGTTGTGATTATAAAGCAGAAAACTCCCTTCTACATTTGAGTTTACACGACGACTGGCTAGTGTATATCAGAAAACTACAGGAAGCCTTTTTGAACACTGAACCTGTTATCCAACAGCTGTAACTGGAACATTTTAAATTGTTAAACCAAAACATCCTGTAACACGATGGTCATGATGTTTGTTTGCCAAACCAGCAACTCAACACAATGCACAGACAGAGAAAAAATGTCTCGCTTTGATATTTGCTGCATCTTAAGTTTCAACTTGTCACTTTCTATGGGTGTAAAAAAAGAAAAAAATACTGTAAATCTTAAAATATTTTAAAATGAGGGAATGAGATGCTCATGTTAATATGCTGAATTTCAACAGGTAGAAATTAATTACCAAGAAAAAAAAATGTATCTATAGTCATTAGTTTCAGAGAAAGTTGTAAACTGACATCAGCTTTTCATAAGCATTACAATATGTATCTTAATATGCTAACACTGTCCAACATTTAAAGGACAGCTATGAATAAATAAATCAGTTCATTTGATGTATCACTTTCAGAGGAGATGCATGAAAATTCGACATATATGCCGATGGAGGTTCATGTTCCATTTCTTTTACCAACAGTGGAAAAATCTCCCCTGAGCGAGTTCCTCGAGGATTAACTGTCCATAGACTCTCAGTGTGGTGTCAACAAAAATTCACAGATTAGATTTAGGTCCACTATTGACTGGAATGGCCCTGAGCTCAGTCCGCATGCACAAGTACTCTCCAATAACAGCCATCAAGGCCATGCAGGCTACATTGACGAGCCACCAGGACAGGGCAGCTGGGAGATGAGCGTTATAGATCCAGCAGCCGATCATGTGGAAGAAGTGCACAGTGACTGTGAAGTCTAGACACTGTTTCCCTCGACGGATGAAGAACCACAGACCAAGGGCGCTACAGGAACAATGAAACATGTTACCAGCCATGCTCATTTATGTTGCAGAAAAGATTATTGGATACAAAGGTGACTTACTTAAGATGAAAAAGTTCAAATCTTGCCACAGAACAAATCTGTCATTTTTATTTTCATCCTATGTAAATAAATGGTATTTTCAACAGTGTTTACTTCTATTGGTGTAATTACTTCAGTTGAGCAGTTACGAATAAATCCATCGTTCCCTTTCAAATGTTTGTATCATTATATGCATGGACAACAGCATTTCAGTAATACATGTTATAGCTCCCATCTCTTTGGATGTACAAAGGAAAAAACTGAAGAAAGGACTTACCAGGTGAGAGAGTTCAAGATGAATGCCATCATTGAGAGCCTTCCTTGCATTGTTGCAAAGCCAAGTGCCTGAAACAGCAGAGCAAAGATTTAAATACCGTTTAAGCACTGTACAAATATGACACACAAAAACAGGTTCCACAGAGAGAATATCTTATAACTTACTTCATAGCTGAAGATCTGGTCCAGTGACCGACTAGTTTGCACCAGACTGTCCACTCCAGCCAACCACAGGCCCAAGAAGCTGTAGTAGATGCACTGCATCAACACAATCTGAGAAATAATGAGGACCGGGTCCCAAATGTAGCTACGGAAGTGGCTGGCCATTGCGGACTGAGGTTACACGTACAGGCCCAAAGGATGTTAACAGCTGGCCCCAAATGTTACCAGCCAGCCCATCCAGTGTGACCTGCGTGTGGTCTCAAATTCTGAAACAAAAAAAGGTATTCAATGAAATACATTACCCAACAGCTTTATTACACAGAAATAGAGCAATTACTATAAGATCATTGCTATTCCACTAACGAAGCCAAATGTTTTGCTGTGAAGTACCTTGTAAACAGTTGTCTGTCAATCTTCAAAGACAAAACCAGAAACATTTATAGGTTAAAATCGATAAAAGCACCAAACTCTGGCATAGCATGAGTTTGAGGTTGTTTTTTGAACTATCAACGAAAGTTAAACGCAGGCGCTCACAAAATTAATCATTGGAAATAACATGAGTAAAATGTAATAACCTCTGTTAGCTTATAATTAATGAGTAATACTTTAAATTATTAAAACATTCTTTTATGGCGTATCTGGTGTGAAAAGAACCTGTGATTAGGTTACGCAGTACAAACAGTCATTATTTACCTTTTCCTCACTGAGTCATCAACTATTAATCACTGCTAATAGCCCAGACATGTAATCAATACAATCCTGTCCCTTTTATGTTTTATGTATCAAATTTAAACTTTGAACAAAACTGCACTCTGTGGGGCATTTTAGTGGAAAAATCAACTTATCTGTACTTTCTGGCAAACAAACCATGTAATGGAAACATTGTTTCTAAATTACCTCAAGACTAGTTGAACTTCTGTAGGTGAAGTAATTTCTTATCGGCTGATTTACAGCACTATATAAATATTTTAGGCTCTTTGAATATTTAGATCCTGATAAATCCTGTTACACCATCAAAGAGGCGTCTGATTTGACCCAAATTCAGTCAGCAGTGTGTCAACAACCCCAAACACACAGCCATGATCATAAAGATCTATCCTCAGAGACGAGAAGCACAGGGAGTACTGCAACAGATGTCTGTCCCCTACAGAGCCCTGATCTCAGCATCATGAAGTCAGTGTGGGATTTACATGAAGAGACAGAAGACACAGAGACAGTATAAATCCACAGAAGAACTATGCACTGTGCACAGGTGTACCTAGTAGAACTGGTCCTGTTTTAAAAGCCAAGTGTGGTCACACATATTGATCTTGAAGATAGACAACAGTAACACTTGATGGCTTTCTCTATAAATTAACAGCCATAGCTAATGTTAATGAGCCACTTCAGCAACAGTTCGTGATACAACGGTGTTATAACTGAGGACAGTTCATTAAATTTAATTCAATTTAACTTCAGGAGCAGACTAACCGAGCATACAGCTTCGCTCAGTCATCCAACACACAACAACGATTAGCCAAAGCTAACATTAACCAGGTGCGCCGTGTTAGCTTTGTTACGTGGCTGTTTAGATTACACAAACCCGCAATGACATTCAATTCAAATAAACATAAAATCCTAGTGAACACAAGCATTTACCCATGGGTGTGAACAATACTTGTTTAACTAAGTTAGTGATAAAAACAACACGAATGATGACCAACAGGTTACAGCATGCTAGCGTGGCTGTTTTCTCTCGGTGTACACAACACAGACACAGCTGATACACACCTGACGACTGGACTACAGAGATTTCAGGGTGCCGCATTAGCGAAAATCCTCTCGTTTTCTCACAGTTTTCAAAACTACACTGCTATCACACTGGGCCTTGTTGTTATCGACTGGCTAACCCTTGTTCACAACACGGAAGTCACGGTGGTGCACCCGGAAAGAAACCCTAACAACTAACGTATGTATTTTCAATGTAAAATACCATGGACGTTTCCGTACTAGTTTTCCTGTTAAATCGCTTCTCTGCAAACATCCAAGGGAGAGAATATCTCATGATTAATTATATCATACCTAAATATATTTATGCTGTTCATGATACAATTGCTGTTCTTTCATCTTGAAACAAGTAAATACATTTTTTCTTTTCATGCACGAACAACACTTATTTTGAAATTCTTTTCCATTTACCTTCCAAGTAGTAGTTTTAAAATAGCTTTTATAAAACAATTTTGTAAACAAATAAAGACATTAAATTGAAGTCAAAAAAGTATGAAGCTAGACATAAGAGGACTCTTTAGGAATCTGTTGCTTACAGATGTTTTACCTAGTGGAAGAGCTCAGCGTCATCCAAACAACACCGGGGCGCCCCGTTTTTCTCTCCAGCATAAACTTCCTCTACATTCTTAAGGTAAAATAACCTAAGATAACTTTGTAAATATGAACCGAACTTTCAGACTTAACGATTCTCTGTGTATGAAAACAGAAAGATATGGACGTTGCCCTTTTCTTTCATAAATAAACGTCAGATAATTCCTCAAATTATTTAGGAAATGAAAGTTTCTACGGCTGCTATGGCTGGTGGTCAGTGTTGTCTTTTTAACCACAGACTAACAGTTTAACAGTTTGTTGTCGTCTCTCTCTGTGCAGGCCTGTACTCATATTTGGGCCTCAAACATAAGTGAGTTCATCCTATGGTTCATTGACATGTAGCTCGCACAAGAAGGCAACTATTGGCCATACAGTAGTAAAGTTTGGGGGAAGAAAATGTCTGCTGACTGAAATATACATTGTTTTTTGTTGCTATTTTTGGTGAACTTTTAGTTTATTAATATTATCTATGGTCATTATATTGTGCATCAAGATTAAAATTTTCGTTTTAAAAAGTTTTTTATATATTCATAATATAATCTGGATTTTTGCTGCTGCACACAGATTTTAGGGTCAGAATATAGCATCAACAGCATAAATCCATTTACCCAACCTGCCTTGTGTCAGCAGCCCAGGCTGCTGGTGGTGGTGCAATGATATGGGGAATATTTTATTGGCACATCAGGCTCCTTAATACCAGTTAATCATGTCTTAATGTAACCACCTATCTGAGTATTCTTACTGACCATCTGCATCCCTTTATGGCCACAATTTACCATCTTCTAATGGCTACTTCCATCATGATAATGCACCATGTCACAAAGTAAAAGTTGTCTCAAAAATTAGTTTCATGAACATGACAATGAGTGGCCTCCCCAGTCAACAGATCTGAATCCAGTACAACACCTTTGAAATGTGGTAGAACAGAGCAATTGGCAGCATGAATGTGCAGCTGACAAATCTGCAGAAATTACATGATGCGATCATGTCAACATGACCACAATCTTAAAGAAATGTTTCCAATATTTTGTTTAATCCATGCCAAAAAGAACTGAGAGCAAAGGGAAGCGCTACCTAGTATTAGTATGGTGTTCCTAATAAAGTGCTTGGTGAATGTATATTACAGTAACAGCTGTAACAGCTGTCTAACATTTGGTAATACTTCTACTCCACTTCATTTCAGTGAAATATTGCACTTTTTACTCCACTACATTTATTTGATAACTTGTCAGATTAAGATTCTATATACAACATATGGTCAGTACATGAAATATGATTATTATAAGTTAGATATTTAAACATCCCAACCCTTTTATAAAAGACAATAACATTAAATATAATGTGTGCAGTTTTGGTAATGAATCCAGAAGTCATTGTAAAACATAAATCTAATTTTAAAGGACATTAGCAATTTATATTTGACAGGTTCAAACTTGCAGGCAAACTGACTGGAAAAATCCACATTTTTGAGGACCTAACTAGTCATAAAGCAACATCTACCTACTGTTTTCTAACACAATACTGGTCTGGGCAGTTATGTAGGACAAAGGCCAAATGTTAATTTGTAACAGAGGAGCGAGTCTTAGCCAGACAATCCTTGGCAGCAGAGTGTGCAGTTCACCCTTGGATCGGCTGTAAGGCTTAATATTTAACAGGGGCAGAACAACCATATGTCACTGAATACACGTGGAAGTCTTTTGTGTTTTAATGTTTGATCTTCACTCCTTTCTCTTCATAGACTAGACAGAAACACTGTGATGCTGCGAGCCCATATGAGTGTGACAACAATACAGCAGCTCACAGAAATGATGGTAATACCATGCTTCAGTTTACACAGGAAACTGGCACGGTTGCACCGTGCAGTGGGTAAGAATATTTTTTGTTCTTTGTTGTGTTGTTCAAGGTATTTTTTCAGGTATTGGGAGAGCTTGTCTCTCAGTTAAATCTTCTTCTAAATACAGCAGGTTTACTGTTCTTATCATAAAAGCCTGATTGTTATGTATGTGATAATCTGAGGTATGCATTTTTTTGTGCAAAATAATCACAAAACATATTTTTTAGAAATTATGCAAAACACAGCAGTGTTACTGTACTTGTCTCTAAATGTATTCCTGCACTTTCCCATGGCTATGTAGTTGACATGCTGCAAAGATATTCCCCTGCATTATTACAGCAATTCTTTTTGTCGACTGTCTTCTCCACCAAAGAGTTTAGGTTTCCTGCACAATTTCTCTCTATGTTTGTTTGTATATGAGCAGCTCAAAAACCTGTTGATAGATATCAGTAGAATGTAATAAAAAGTTAGGCCTTTGGCCAAGGAACAAGTGATTAGTTTCAGTTATGAAACCATTTTAAAGGCAAAATGCAAAAACTTCAAGATATAGTATCTTTAAAGTGGGTGAACGGATCCTTGAGCTACACACGCAAAATAATTGGAAGTCAGTCTACTACTTAGGATGTAGCAGGTTCCATCATTGCTTTGGTGGAGTCACAGTATGTACTCGCTGAGTTTCGTAGCCCATGGGATAGAACTGCCATTGTAAAAATATTCATAAAAGCACCATAGCAGTATTACAAGGTGCACAGGAGCTACCTTCAATAGAACTATAACAAATTATGTTATTTCTGTTGGATCTTTATCAGCGTTCTGATACGTGACACAAATACTTTATTACACGTGTACTCTCATCTACATCGCCCCTCTGTGTGTCTTTTGTAATACTCAATCGTTCAAAGGTATATTTTTCTACCACCTGCAGGTGCAGTTCGGTGGAGGAGCAGCTATAGACCAGCCCCTTTGTTGACAGCTGCTCCTGCTCGTGCCCTCATAGATGAACAGATCAGCATTAAAGGGCGTTTCCTGCCCCCACGCTGTCCGGTTACAGTGTGTGCACAAATGCACAGTGAGGATGATGACCTGTGGGAGGCATTCGCACATTATAATACAAATGCAGATGGAACTGTCAACTGTGAGTCACACTCAACTTTGCAATACAGTATATTCACTGTTGGATAATATATAATGCTTTTGTAACAATATAATTGCAAGAAACACAACATGTTAACACAACAACACAATTAGCGTGAGATTTAAACTGATATTTATTGCATTTTTTGTACTTTTTTGCAAGTAGTTTAGTCACATATTCTTTGGTCAACCACACTTTTAACCAGTGTTGATGATTACTTTTGTAGTAATCATCTACCCTCTGTCTTTTTCTCCCTTCAAAGTGACCAAGGATCATTCAGTTGGGGGTTCATATTTGGGCTGTGAGCCAATGGGACTCTTCTGGGGACTGCAGCCGGCTCCTGGAGCAAGAGAAGGTTTAAGGCAGGTGATAAAAACGATAAAAATCCGATAAAAAAGCTCACTGGGAGCAACAAAAACTGTCTGTGTTATCCAAACACATTTGCGATTTATGATCAGCCACAACCACTGACTGCTTCCCAGAAATGTAACTCCCCTCAGCCTCCACCCATACTAGAATTTTGGCTTTTTTATTACTCAGCTGCAGCAGCTTGTTATTGCTTCCATAAATGGTTAGAGGTTGAGTTTCCTCTCTAAGTTATGCTCTTTTACACAGATTGAGAAAAAAAAACGTGGAGATTCCATACGTAGTGCACATGTCCTTACTGGAGGGGCATGTGTCGCCCAGTGAGGGACAGAGCACTGAGCTGGCTGCTGTAACCACTGAGCGCTGGTACATGGCCCCGGGCGTAAAGAGAATAAAGATTCGGCAAAATGGAATTGTAGGGACGTTGTTCTTACCCCCTGGTGAGCACATGATATCAAGTATACAGTATGTAGAACCATTTTAAGAGTGTGGATGGTAACTGTGTCCTCTGAACAGTGTCTACTGTACTGATTTCTTGCAGGTCCGGGCCCATTTCCAGCCATGTTGGACCTGTGGGGAATGGGTGGAGCGCTGGTCGAGTACCGCTCGGCCCTGTTTGCATCAAGAGGTTATGCCAGCTTGTCCATTGCCTACATAGGGCACAAAGAATTACCTGGCCCACAAAACCGCATCAATGTTGGGGCTTCATATTTCAATGTAGGATATGCATTGCAACATGTACACGTCCCAAAAAAAAACGAACAGATACTTTGATTAGTTTGTAATTTCCTGAAAATTTCCCATTTGTTCTGTCTGGACAGTCAGCCTTCAACCTACTTCGAGATCATCGTCAGGTCTGTGCCGACAGAGTTGGTATCATCGGTCTGTCATTTGGAGTTTACCTAACTCTTCGAATTGCCACTGAGACTGGTGCCAAAGTACGTCAGAAAGTCCAGTGTCTGTTTCTCAATCTTCAGCTTGACCAATACATAGCTCCATGTACATGAAAAGTCAAGTTTTTTTTAAAGAGGAAAAAAATGAAAAGATGCTAGTTGTTTAGCAGTATAAAATTAATTTGTATTTTTACTAAGTTGTTTTGTTCTCCTCTCCAGCCATCTTGTTTGATTTGTATCAACGGGCCAATAGGAAGTGCCATCAGGCTCTCAGATGCAGACGGCAGGACGGAAGATTTTGAAGGGTAAATTGTAATGACTGATAGGTTTTAGTGTCATACCTCTATGATGAGTCTGTAGTCCAAAGTACTGACTTTAGTCTGACAGATTAACAGTTCATTACCTCTGCCAAGGAGTTTATGTTTTCACCGGTGTCTTATTATTTGTCAGCAGGATTACGCAAAAAGTACAGAACCAATTTGCACCAAACTTGGTGGAGCATGGGCCAGGGAAGAATCCATTGCAGTAGGGACGTTTTGATACTATCGTCTATATTTTACCTTGGCTGAGGTATGAACTCTACTGAGTGCCATTCTAATTCTCAATTTAATTGTTTTAGTGATTGAGATCAAACACAAACTGCTTTTCTGGTAAATAACTTGGACTTCAGCAAAATTTGCAATTGTACATGTGGATCACAGAGATTATTTTCAGCAATTTCACTGAAGCCTAAAGATTGAAAGATATAATGAGTTGTTTTCTCTTTTCTTTTAGACAACAGAAATATTGGACATATAATGATCAAGGCCATGTCAGTTTCAGAGACATCTCCTTGCCTGCTAACCTTCCTCCTGAGAGCAAAGTGAAGGTGATTAACAGCCTCTCTGCCGCCTGATCCCCGGCACCAACACACAAAGTCAGACATGCATTAAGAATGTCGAAGCAATGTGCTATTAATCATCAATGAATATCAATTTTGAATTGTGTTTCTGCAGCTAGAGAACCTCGCCTGCCCATTAATGTACATAGTGGGAGAAGATGACCTGAGCGCTTCAAGCATAGAGAACGCAAACCTGGTAGATTGTCTCATTTTACTTTTTTTTGAAGAAAAAGAAGAATTAATTGGGTATGTTTGTTGTTTTTATAACACTGATTTGTTGGTCATCAGATCGAGGAGACCCTGAGGGCTGCAGATAAATCCCAGCTTTTCACTCGTTTGTCCTACCCTGGTGCTGGTCACCTGATTGAACCACCTTACTCACCAAATTCAAGAATGTCATTATGGAGTGTCAAACCAAAAAAATGTGAGCCTTGTCCCAGAGCTGCATTTTTCATTCAGCCAGATCTTATTTTGCCTATTTTATACTTGTCGTCATTTTAACTGTCAGACACTTGATTATAATATTAAGATGTTACGTATTCTTGTAATTCTGACATGTTTTTTTTTTTTCTATCTCCTGCAGTGATCACTCTGTGGGGAGGTCATCTCGCGCCCCACGCTGCTGCCCAGGAAGATGCCTGGAAGAAGATCCTCGATTTTATGGAAAACAATCTGAGAAGATGAACCTGTGGTGAAGTGGACTTGTCGATAGAAAGTACCTCGTGACGCATGTGTCTGTGAAAGGCTGCATGTAGCTGAGAGAGTTTTACATGCAGAGAACTGAGGGAGGAAAACAAACTTTTGCTGTCCTGTGGTGTGCAGCTCGCTCAGATACGCTCACATTCAGCAGATTCTCCACAAGGGGGAGCTGCCATGCCAAAATACACCATCAACAGGGAAGGACAGTCATCCCTGCTGCATTAAATGTCTGGTTCTTCATGAGTTGTCAGCATTTTTGCATTTTATTTTATGCAACAAACTTTTTATTACACTGAACAGAGGATATAATAACGATCAGCCATCAAAGTTGGTCTAAATCTACACAGATGTCCCGATGATGTGCACATCATTCAGTCCCACTTATAAATTTCAGACACTCAGTTCCTGTGTTCCTCGTGTTTTTTTTTTAACGAGTAATTGGTATACATGCTAACTAAATACCATGGGGATTGGGGATGAAGAGTTCATGGCAAGCTGAGGTGACCATGGCGATGAGGGTGATGAACTCTTTGAAGTCAATCTCCAGGTCTCCGTTCTGGTCGAGGTCCGCAAAGAGCTCATCCAGAGTTTCACTCTCTTGGATTTTCTGTTCAACAGAGAAAGTGGATGAAAGTAAATAAATAAAAACGTTTGGGTTGAGGTGGTGATAGAGGAGTGTTGTTAGTTTATCCTCTGCACATTTGCCATAATCTTATATTTACCTGGTCAGCCTAGAAGCATTTGAACATTTGTATGTTGTGCTTGCATTATATTCACTAAGTATCTTAGGCTGATGCAAATGAAAGTGTAAAAAAGTTAAGAATCATCATTTAGGGACGTTGAATGTCTACGCCAGATTTCAAGTCAACGCACTCAAGCCCTATATCACGATGTTTCACTCCAGACTGACAACCGACTGACAGATGGATCTACCAACATCAATAAAACATCGCAGTTATTGTCTACACATCTGAGTATCTAATTTACACACATGTGAAGTGCAGCACACTGTGGTCTCAAAAGTAGACATGAAAAAGGCACGTGCTGATAAAGAGTCCATTGTCTTAAAGTTGTTATGGTTATGACTTAGTACACGCCTTATACTGTAGAGTGCTACCAATAACATGCACATTTTATAGCCACATAACTTACCATTATGAAATGACTCATCTCATTGTCGATAAGCGATTTAAGCTCAGCTTTCCTCAGCTTGCACTTGTGACCCGTGTATTTGTGGAAAACTCGGATAATATTGACCATGCCATTCTCCAGCTCAGACATACTCTTCTTTGAGGGCTACAACAAATGTTCCCAAAACACAATCATTACTCCCACATGAGGATCTTATAAGACAGATGATTATTTTTCTGCACATTTTTATAAATAAATGATTAAAAAATATATAAGTATATATAAATAATTTATACACATATATAACACATGCATCACTAATTTATTGTATTTTCAACTTGGAGACTTTCAAATGTATGAAAATAAACTGCAAAAAATAAAATAAACCTCAAACATTTAGTCTTTCTTACCTTCATCTGAAGAAGCATCTATGTCTTCTAAGGATCCTAAGTGCGACTGATGGTTTATCTAGCACAGCCTCGCCCAGTTTACTGTGGACTGTATTGATCAACCACTTCCATTTACATCTGCCATGCGCTATCTGATGTACGACTAATGGCTATTAGTGGTCAGAGATGTGACCAAAAACCATTTGCTTTCAAATGACTATGATCAAGCTTCTCCCTTTTGCCTCAACTAATATGGGCTCAGTTAAAACTAATATCTGAGCTTGTGAAACGATGTTCAGGAATAATTTCAAAGCCTATGGTTGTATGTCACCCTTTGATTAACCAGTTAAACGGATCTGCATGATTGCTAATTATATCAAAAGTTAAGGTTACACCTATAAACACTGAAACTGAACTACCCTTTTTAGCTCACACACTAAAAAAACAAACAAACAACTGAATTGACATTATTTATTAAAGGCTTCTGCAGTTTTCCTCTTAAATTCCTACTAGAACTCAAAAGTGTGTTTGTGGTCTACAGTTTTACAGGAAGATATACTGGGGAAGGCTTTTGCTGAGTTGTGGTTCCACTTTTTAAGAACTGTAATATATTTAGAGTATCACAATAATGGGATTGTAATGTGATTACAAAAGAAACAGAGCCAAAGCATGATGCTTTCTCAACACGCTATACATCTACACTATATAGAGAACTCTGTATATTCTCTTTTCTGACATCTAGATATGATGACTTGGGCTTAATTGCTAATTGTAGTTACTACATTTATGGTGAATATGACTTGGAAATGTATTCCCTGATAATAAGTAAACCACCCACACACGCTTCTGGTTCCCAGGAACCAGAGGGGTGGGTGACTTTACACAGAGATGAAAGCCATAGCAACTTCTCCCATATATGGAGGTTTATTATCATTTTCACAAACACATAGACAATGATAACTAACTGATATTGTAAACTAACTGACTTTTTTTTCTCTAAAAGAGGTCTGTGTCATCGTCAAACAATCTGCTGCTGGTTGCAGACAATGAAACTGGCTGTTTGGCAGTATATTTTTTCTTGGCTTAATATATTTCCTCTTGAAAGTAGTTGTCCTTTTAGGAAGCATTGTGAGCAGATATTTTTTTGGATTCAAAAGCAACAGACAACAAGTAAGGACACACTGTTGCAAATGAAGCAAATATTTGGAGATTTTGATTTAAAAGATTATTATATTCTTCTGCTGCTCCACTTACATTTTGCTGATAATACTCCTTTACTCATCAGGCAGTAGGATGGCAACTCTCAGTGTTATATAATTACTGTGTTATACAGTTCATTAGGCCTATATGGGGTCAATTTTAATGAATCTATGTACTTTGGGTAGTTTTGTTTTTGCCAATGCATAAAATCCACTGGCTGATAATTCTCAAAATAGCAAAATACTATATACACAATGCCAAATTTATGACAATCCCACCCATGATTAAAACAAATTTCAGTTGTATTGTAAATCCCTGAAATGTGAATGAATAAATATTAATAAAATGAATGTAAATTAAAAATGTGCAGGAGATATGCTGAGATGTGTAAATGTACAAATTGATAGAACCTGGATTTATTCATCTTTAATTTAAATTGAATCCCAGTTCATCTTAATTTGTATTGCTTTTTTTAATATTTACAATTTATTCAAATCAATTTAGCCTATTTCTCATTTTCTATTTATTTGCTTGTTGTTTGTATTTATCATTTATTCACTGTTCAGTAAAGCACAAAAATTACATAAATACAATACTTTTTTTTTTTTTAAATATGAGATCCTCAGATCAATTTCCAATTTTTAACATTAACTGTGCTGGTCAGTGATTTTAATCCTGTCCAGATCGTAATAATTTCAGAACCCTGTTACCTGCTGTTTTCTGTGAACTCACTGTTCGTCCTGTAATTATATTGCTTTTTTTTTTTTTAATTAAAATAAAGTATAGTCCGTGTGAGAAAAAAAAAGTAGAATTTCGAATTTGCACTTAAACCTTGAACGCACCGCGGCTCCATTTCCTGTTTGTCCCTACCTTGTCAAACATACCGTGCTCGCTCTGTTTGCGCTCATGTCTGAACCTTGTGCCTGTCGGCTTAGATGTGAGAGGACTGTCCGCCCTTCCTTTCGATAGGAAACTCGTACTGACGTAAAGGAACCAGAGCAGGCAGATCCCCGTGTTAATTAAGAGCGTTAATGTCACTGTTTTAGTGAATCTATGCGGCCTGTCTCATTCTATTCGCACTAAATTACCCAGGTTTGGTGACTACAGGGCGGACAGGAAGAAACAGCCACCGAGAGGGACATACGAGAGGAAAATAAGCAGTGTTTGGTAAGGTTTCAGTCATTTCACCGTAGTGTTTTTTTTTCTCTCTGACGTTTAAATTCCTTTGCTACGTTATCTATCCTCACGAATGCTAAGCTAAACATTTGCAACATTGACCACTGTAAAGTTGGGAGCAGTGGTATAGCTGGCTGGATTAAAGTTCACTACAGTTTCAGGTCAAAATAACTAAATTAACATTATTTAGGTTTCATGGAGGCCTGTCTTTCCACCCCCAGAGAAGAGATGGAAGAGAATAAACACTGTAATATTCCTCTGACATAATACAGCACTCCACAGTGTGTGGGTGGCACTCAGCAGTCACTTTCTACACACCTTATTGTGCTTTGTTGTTTGTCTAACTCATATGATCCACAGCTTTGTTCTGAGGCTTTGCATATGTTTTACTGAAGAGGACTGTGAGCTGCAGAATCCATCAGTCATTTGACTTCATCAGAGATGGTGTGTGGTTCACATGCAAAGACCTGAAACCACATCCCTCCCTCATGCTCATGTCTTTTTTCAGAAATGCCCTGTTTTCATTTTGAGGCTATAAATAACTCAGTATGTGTAAGTGTGACCTGCCTCATCTCTTTTTTTGTCTCTCTCTCTCTCTCTCTCTCTCTCTCTCTCTCTCACACACACACACACACACACAAACACAGTTTCCATCTCCATGTTGACTAAACCCTCTCTTCCTCTCCTCTGTTCAGGCATGGCTGATCTGCTGAGGCTGCTGCTGCGGGTGGCTGAGAAAGCGGCTAACGTGGCTCGGGTCTGCAGGCAGGAGGCTCCGCTCTTTCAGCTCCTCGTACAAGAGAAGACCGGAGATGACAAGAACAAGAAGTTCGTCCAGGACTTCAAGACTCTCGCTGATGTGGTGATCCAGGAGATGATCCGACATGATGTTGGTGCTCAGGTAGGAGCAGTCGTTGCATAAGTATGGACTGTAGAAATGTACTGAAAGTGGACTGTGTGCTGCATTTTAATGATGTCCTGTCTTGTCTTTTGTGCAGTTCCCTGAAATGGCTGGCTTCATTCATGGAGAGGAGTCCAACAAGTTTGAAAATGGGCTTGGTAAATATTTAATATTACACTGACCACACTACATGCTCTTGTACTCTGCTTACTTTGGGTGTTAATAACTTTACGGTTAAAGCATACTTTGAGTTAAAAGTAACATCAGTCATTTGCACAACCAGCCCCCAGTTTGTAGCCAAATATTCAACTTGTGCACTGGATCTTGTTTGGCTGAAACCACCGTGTGTTTGGGGTCATTTGGGGTCTTGCATGGGAATTTTACCAGTCCAGCACTGAATCCCTGTGCTCCTGCTACAGTTTTCTGCAAAAGCTGATGTTCAAATTTGCAGCCTACGCAGTTTATCAACTTTTATTTCTCTTTGAACGCTACTAGGAATGAAGTCTGTCCTGGAGAGGGCCCCCCAGACTCACAGGGGCCCTCAGGTTCACTACTGTGCATGTCAGCTGTTGTTTGGTATTTGTTTGATTGCAACAGAACTTGCACCACCACACGGCAATATCAACAAAGGCAGCTCCTGCTAACAGCTAATCTTGTAGAATGGCCTTCTGGTTTACTTGATGCTGAAATTATTTGATCTTACTGTAACAACTTAACTATCAATTAATCAGCTCAGTGTTTCCTTGTTTGATCAATTAATTGTTTTGTCTATAAAACATCAGAAAACACATTTTCCTAAAGCCGAACCTTCAATCTTCCAAGTGTTCTGTTGTGTTCGACCTACAGTCCAAAAACCAAAGATATTCAGTTTACTGTCACATGAGAAGAAGAGCACCACTTCCTTACATTTGAGAAGCTGGAACCAGATAATATTGGTAATTTTTGCATGTAAATGACTACAATTAATCAACTATCAAAATGTTTGCTGATCAATTTTCTGTCAATAGATAATAATAATAATTTTAGTTCTTGTTGATATTGCAGTCGAAAGTACGTTATTCTAAATAATGCTGTGTCTGATCAAATTTTAATTAGATGAATTGAAAATATGGGGCCAGGAATTGTTCCACTGTAGGAGTACTGGTTGGCTTCAGGCTCTCTTTGTGTGAGCGGTGAGGTTAATAATAATAATCACTTCACCTTCATAGTGGAAAACTAAATGCTAGAAGGGCTAAAAATATACTTGACCTGATGTTCAGCGCCTGGGCTTCACCATGATTGAGTCATCAAGTAAAATAATCAGACATAAAGTCAACACATCAGTGTATCGCTGTCCAAATATTTTAGCTCGCTGCACCTTTCACTGTGTAAATATTTATAGTAATTTGTAGTAAAGTAATCAATTGAAGCCTCACTGACTGTGTGGGTCAACAGGAGAGAGTGTGACCGTCACAGTGTGCGGTACAGAAGAGGAGACCGCAGCGCTGCTGGCCACGGTGCTGGATGGAGACCACACGGCGGCGTCTCTGCTGGCTCGAGCCATCCACCAAAACCCGGCGAACATCGACAGCAGCACTGACGGTCTGACGGTGCCCCTCAGCCCCTCTGAGCTCGGCATCTGGATCGACCCCATAGGTGAAAGGCTCTGCATTTTGAATTCACCTGAGGGCAGAGCTGAGCGTCTTATCTCAGACCTCAGTGACGACTCACTGTCTACTGTTGTTTTTAATTAAGATGCCACCAGCCAGTACATAGAGGGCAGAGAGGAGGTGCTGGAGAAGGGTCACCTGTCTCCTTCGGGTCTGCACTGCGCTTTGGTTCTGATCGGGGTTTACCTCCGGAGCACAGGCGAGCCTGTCATGGGCGTCATCAACCAACCATTCAACTACAAAGATCCCTCGGGTGGAGGGTAAGTAAAAACAACTGTTGCAATTGTAGCATGTATGAACGTTTGAGCACCCTTCTACTTATAAAGTCTGAGAACTAGTCGGGATAGGTCCAGAGCTGTCATTAGGAACTGTCAGCTGATGAGCAGAGTTGATCAATACTCTGACTCTTAAAACCTTGTGGGAACAATCAACAACCACAGGCTCCTCTAAGCAACTGACTGAGAATCTGAAAAATGAAGCTAACCGATGCCTACAAAGCAGAGGCGGCTATAAAAATATATCAAACCGCTTCCAGGTTGAAATTTCCACTGCCCAAAATGTCATTAAGAGGTGACAGCTAAAAGGGAACTGTGGAAGTCGAGACAAGATCTGGAAGACCAAGAAAACTATCAGATCAAATTGCACGACTCCAGGGCAGAAAGAAAACAAAGCTCCCATATGACTGCACAGGAGCTGCAGGTCCAGCTGACAACAGGAGTGGTGCAGCATTCCTCTGATGCACAAACAGGCTCTACATGGAAGAATCATCAGAAGAAAACTTTACCTGCAGCCTCCTCGCACAAGTCAACATGTTACAATCTCAGTTTTTTGTTTTAAGATTCAAGTGTGGAAACATTCATTGATGAGTCTGATACTCAACATGTCAGAGCAATCGTCAAACTGTTCAGGAGTGTTTAGATGATGAGGTGACTCACTGCCTGATGAAACTCCTGAACCTTTTGAGCAACAACAATCATATCCACCTGTCTCAGCTTAAATTCACTGGAGAGTTGACGGTGATTGGTGCAGTCCTCCAGTCAGCTCATGTTGATGTTCGAGAGAGGGAATGATCCGTCAGTCATCTTTGGTATGAGTCTGTATTGTGGAGGTGTCTTTGTCTTCCTCTGTGTCTCCCTTGAAGTAAAATATTCTCACCTACCCACTGCTTGCTTATATCCACAGCTGGAGAGGGAAGCACTTCTGGGGTGTGTCCTGTGGCGACATCAACGTCTGCTCGCTGTCCCGGCCCAAAGGTAACTCTGAAAACGGGCGAGGTCTCTCTGTGGTGCTAAGCTCCAGTGAGAAGCAGGTAGTAAAGGAATCCCTGACCTCACTGTGCAGCCCCGAGCAGCTGGTCTACGCCTCTGGAGCCGGCTACAAGATCCTGTGCGTCATTCAGGGCCTTGCTGACGTCTACGTCCTCTCAGAGGGCAGCACCTTTAAGTGGGACTCGTGCGCCCCTCATGCCCTGCTGCGAGCCCTCGGAGGAGGAGTGGTGGATCTGACTAAGAGTCTACAGTCCAGCTCTGGATCGCAGGATCACCAGACAGAACTGACCTATCACCAGCCTTACGCTGAGTGTAAAGGAGCCGACCGCTGGGCTAACCATGGCGGCCTGGTGGCTTATCGAGACTGTTCTCAGCTCCGCAGCATCGTCGCGGCCCTGAAAGGCAAGCTGTAGTTGAAAACACAGTGGATGTAGTCAGCATACACTGATGCAGTTATTGTTGCGTATATGATCATATTCATTTTTTTCTATATCAGAGGAAAGAAAGTTGGCATTGAAGGATGAAATATTTTAATTATAATGAATACTGTATTATTTTTAACCAGATATATATGCAAGTGTATATTTTACAAGGTAAACTTCAGGTCTGGGCCAAAAAATATTTGCAAATATTGTTTAGTTTTTAGTCTTGAGGTTCAGGGGGAAAACATTTAGCAAAACCTGAGTGAATCTAATTTATTTGAGAACAATAAGCAAACAAGAGCGCTCTGATGCTGGGAAGGCTATCAAGCTTCAGGTTAGAAAGATTTGTTCAGAAAGCAAAATGAAGTGTAATGTATGGGAACTTAACACTAACAGGTGATGCTCATGAATCAAACGTCCGTGAAATCCAAAATATGAAAAAGCCAATTTTATTCCTGGGTTCATTGTCAATATACTGTACCAACTGAGCCATGCAGGAAGAGACACATGCAGTTCATGTTCCCAGTTCTGTCGTCAGTTCATAGAAATTCACTGAATTTAAACATTGGGAAGTCTGAGGCCAAATGTTTTTCTGGCATCGAAAGCAGAAAATGACAGAAAAAGTTTGGGAACCGCTGATTTACGTCTCACCAGACTGGTGTAACTTCCCTCACAGGACAGCGCAATGGACGGCTGAAAGTTTAGATAATCAGGTAATGCTCTGGTTACTTCCTCCTAGCAGCTACAACAAACTTAACATTATTTGTGAATTCTGTTAAGCTCAGGCCTGATAGGCATTTATTAAACATTTGCTAAAGCTTTGTAACTGTTTGTCTCCATGTGGCATAAAGAGTTTGTCAGAGTTCGGATGAACTAGAGTGCTCACTGCTGGACAGCTGAGGAACGCTTCACTGCCAGAGGAAAGGTAACGTGACATCATAAGGCTGCTTCTGACTGATCTGAGGGATTTTTGTTGGATTCAAAGGTCTAAATTGCAGTTATGAAAAGTGATATTGCAATTTTTCCACCCCATCTAACCTGTTGAAGGCTATATTAAGTCAAGAGAGGGGGCTAGACTCTGCACCTCTCAGAAACAACTCCTTGTAAGGAGCAGAGGGATACACATGCCCTGCCCTCTTTCCACGGCCATGGCACCGTTATTTAACAAGGTCAGAGAGTGGAAAAGCCATATGAGGTAAAACAGTGACACAGAGCCCTTTTCAGCGTAGGTTTACAGTAAAATGAAATATTAGGCCAATTCGAAGGACGGGACCTCGGCAAGCTAACAGGCTGCTCTGAGCGGGATTCTTAGTGTTGACACATGTAACCCTACTGTGTATGTTTAAAACGATTTGTAACATTGATATGCATCGTTAGGAACTGATAAATCATTTGTTAAGTATATACTGAGCACAGAACAGAACAAACATTGTGCATATAGGAAATCATCTTTATTTTGAAAACCAGAGAAAGCGGGGGAACGAAACCCAACAGCGATATTTTAAAACTGTTTGCCAGCCAGGGAACTCGCCACATAATTCCCTACAAAAAACCCTGATGATTGTCAGATATTTTTTGCAATACTTCTGCATATTCTGTTAAAAACTTGAGAAAAAAAAAACTCTTAAGTGTTGGCTCTTTCTTTGACTTCGAACTGCTACCTTTAACATACAGCACTGTACATTCTTAAGTCAAGGTGGACATGTGGAAAACAACGTGTTCTGCTTAACGTCGGTGCAGTTTCCTACACAGGGAAAAGTAGATTTTCGACAGTTTATCATGATCCAAAAACCAGTTCTCTGAAAAAGTGAATAAGAACACAGATGGTCAACGCCTCAACGAGTATGTAAGAAGAATAATTGTTGGAAAAGAAAATCTGGAGCAAATTTGTGAACGAAATACTACCAAAGTAATTTCTGTCTGATTATCACATACTAACAATCTGAATGTAACCCTGACATCTTTGAAAATTACATTTTATAGCCCTCATAGTTTTGGCTTGGCTCTAATCTTCCTTAAGGCTATCAAGTTGTTTTTACCAAAATAGACTTAATGCAGGACTAGTTTTACTCTCTCGTTTTGTGAGATACTTTGATTTCATTTGAAAGGAAGGGCCACTTTAATTTACAGTAACTCAATCCATGTCTGGGAAACTGGCCAAATATACAAGAGGAAAACAATGTGTCATATGAAGAGAAATGTGGTAAACTTAATGTCCTTCTTCAGTGAACTCGACATTTGCAACAAAGGTTCATCTTTTAAGGCGACTACAGATTCCAGAGCGGTAAGTGAAGTGCAATGGGCTGTCAACTCAAATCTTTTTTTTTTTTTTTTTTTTAAAAAAAAAAAAAAAAACCCGGCCTTTAAACTTTATTTTTCACCAAAAAAAAAAAAAAAAAAAGCTTAGCGAGCTACACCTCCTACTCAGCTGCAGCTGGAGGAGTCTGGTTAGGCTAAATCACTGATGACTGTTCAAAACCCTCTGATGTTATTACAGGGGTGGGTGTGCAAATTAACACAAAAGAAAAAAATATGAACATGGTATTTCTTTTCCACTGTCAATATAAAAAATAGCCTTTATCAAATGCCTTGTATCACTACAGTCGCACAATCTGCACATATCAGGTGTAAACAATAACAGTTCAGGTTTCTTCAATTAACCTATGATGAAGATTAAAGTGTAATTTTCATGTAAAAACCATTTTAAGAAACCAAACCCAAAATACAACCACTTATTGGCTTTGTGACCCGTTCTTGTTGTTACATACAGTAACACAGGGGAGATTACAAGTAAATCAGTTTAGATTTAAATTAGATTTTCTGTGAATCTGTGACCTTGACATTTTGAAAGCTGAAGCACATCCAGGTAGAGGTTTTCTCCTGTGTTCAAGACTCTACACTAGCTGACACATCACCACAACACTTACGAGTCAGAATGTGAACATTGTTCATTATAAACCGCAGAATTATTTATTTTCAGTGTTTATTTTTCTGGGTGACGTTCATGACAGATCACTGATGTACAAGTTTTGGCATAATGTGTCCCCAAAACATCCTGGTAGGCATAAAATGGCACTTAAACAAAATGGTGGAAGATTTTGAAAAATGTTATTAAAGTTATTTCAGAAATAACTTGAACAACTATATAAATCTCTGCAGATGCAACATGTTTTAAAACTGCTGCCTTTTACTGTGAATCCAGTAATGATCAGAGTGAGAAAAAGGATGAATAAAGTAGTGACAATTTTGATCGGAAAAAAACAAATCATGTTGCAAGTTTACAAAAAAGGTCAGGTTTGCATTTGTGAAGTAGCACAATGTCTAATTTTAAATTAAATCAATACATTTAAGACTCAGGTAGCTGTTAACGGATCTATTTTCTGATGTATTATTAGCCGTCAGTCAGCTGTGACAAGTGTTTTCAATAGGCCACCATCTAACATCATAAGTCAGTATTGTGGTTACACAGTGGATCAACAGGGGGCAGTATAAATCTATTCTATGTTTGAAATAGCACTGACAAGATATCAACATTTCAAAATGTCAAGGTGTCACCTATGAAGTTTTGAAACACCAATGAATTCACTCCCGCTGTTAGATTTGAAGCTGTGCCATGATTAATGCCAACCTAGGTCTGAGATAATAAACAACAGGCAGATTTGAATCGGTATATCTTAAAACAAATAAAGCCCTTTTATATTTTTCACTTTAACAAGTCCAGAGCTTACATCCTGACTCCATCACAGGTTATTGTCTCTGGCTTCTGAAAAGTTCACAAAATCCGACTTGGGCTGTCTGACATGTTCAAATGACTTTACTTCTTGAATTTTGAGCCTGTTACTCTTAAAAACAAATCAAATTTTATAGAAAGTGGCCTCCAATGCAGGATGGGATTCTTTGCTAATTGCCACACAAATATCAGCACTTATTCTAACATAACTAATTCTGAATGAGAAGGTATAGCATGTGGCTGTGCCACATTACATGGCTGAATCTCCACGAAGCAACTACAGGATTGTTTAATAAAATGAAACAATTGAAACTGAACCTCTAGTGAGCGCAAATTTATCATTTCAGTAAACTTCATCACAGAAGGATCCAAGTAATATTTAATTATGTGTATGGAATTTTACTGTTTGTATTATAATAATCAAAATAACCTGGGACAAATATGTGTGGATGCTAGTTGCCTCAGTGGATTTTTAATGCAGGAGGATGACTGCATGTGACCTACATTAAGCCATGCATACTAAAAGTTTTTTTGCCTTCTCTTGCCATCTGTGTGCCTACTAGCAGAGAACCACACCGTGCCCTGATTTAACTGTAAATACTGGCCACTCTCAGGTCAGCTCTCCTATAAAAATGTGGCTACTGCACACTTGTTTTAAAAATTTGCTGATTTGTTTTTGTAAATTTACATTAGATGTGTTAGGTTTTGGCTGGTTTGGGTTCATTCTTGAAATATGGTGGGCGGGGTGCAGACCTAGAGGTAGATCCACATGCCACTAACGTGAGTAACATTGACACAGTGATGTTGCTCAAATCTTTATCTTCTTCATGTCGATTATAGCGATCCACAATTAACAGTCCATCTGACTGCAACCCTCTTCAACAGTCAGAAGTCAATGTCTTAAACCAACCTTATATAAAACATTAACAACATAATTGCGAGAACTAAAGTGTTAAAATGCAGGTGAATAAATCATGCATTGCAGGATTTGGCAGGAAATTATGAGAGAAAATGTTTCATTACAGCATCCTGATAGGGATTTCAATGCCAAGGCTACCGTCGTCTTAAAGACCAACAAAAAATAAGGTGAAATGAGAGGTAAAGCACCATCACTGCCACCTCTTCAGCCCTAATTCAATACTTGTTTTCAGTCCACAGGCTCCTCTTCGTGATCCAGTCTCTCTCTCCTCTGGCTGATCTGAGTGCAGCCTTACCCATATGAATCTTCTCCAGTTCAGATCTTGGCATGCCAACAGGCAGGCGAGAGACAAACATGGCCATTATTTATTGTGTCCCTGTGTTGCTTTGTTGATACTCTGAGAAGTCAACAGACTTCACCTCTGGAAAGGCTTCCGGACCTTCTTCCTCCTCCTGGGGGGTTTGCCGCTTTCAGCCCACGTCTCACTGGACTCTGGCCGGTGACTCCCTGGCATGTGGAAACCTGTCTGGCCTGGGGGAGGGGAGAACGGGGGCGCTCCAGCACCAGGTGGGTGATGATGAGGCGGACCTGAGGGGAAGAAGCCCCCATTGGCAGCCATGTCATTAGAAGGTCCTCCTTTGAAGATGCGGTTGAAGAAGTCCTGCAAATCGGCGGGGTTGGTTGGACCTGTGGCGTGCTCTGAGGGCATCCTGAAAGGAAAAGTTGGAGGGTTCAGAGATCTTTTGCACTGGAGACTCAAGTGTAATGGTGTAGTTTTCTCCTTTTAAAGACGGTCTCTGCAAGTGTGGGACGATTGGACCATAAGGTATCTTGATTAAAAATACAAACAAAAGTACCAAAGCTATGCACAAAAAGCAGTTTATGAGGAAAAATGTAGACACTGATGAGGAAGAGCAGGATGACATGTTGTGTTTATGCTCCCATGGAGCCACAACAACAACCTTAATATGAAGAAGAAGAATGATGACAACAGGAACTCTTGTGGAGTTCTGGACGGGGGTCCCTGACGGCACATATATGTTCAATTCTAAACACGGGGGACATACCTGTGTCGTGTAGCGCTGCTGTTGTTCTTTGAACCAAAGGAGATGTGATAGGGCACACGGTGTGTGTCAGGAGAAATGCCTATTCTTTGGCAACCTGCCCACTCTGAAACATGACACCATCACAACAGGTCACAGAGAGAAAAAGTACAACCAAAAAACACGCTTTTCCATCCCTTGAGGGATAGATACCGATAATACATGAGCTCATGCAAACTACAGAGTGTATTACTGGTTAGTTACTGGAATAAGAAGGAAGGAATAAAGAAATAATAAAGGAATAAAGAAATAAAATCTTTATGTACCTGTAATATCATAGACCTTGCCATCCATACAGGCAAAGTATGTGATGCGTAGGCCCAACATGCTGGACTCGGCCCACAGGTCCCCCTCCTCAGCACTATGGCAACGGTTGCATTCAGCACAGAACCGGGCCTCAGCAGGTTCACGATCCATCTCGAACCGTCTGCACACGCACAGACATACATGCACGCACAGACATACAGACATACAGACATACAGACATACAGACAGACAGACAGACAGACAGACAGACAGACAGACAGACAGACAGACAGACAGACACCAGGAAGGTGAAAGGTCTGCAGCATGAGGCACAATTCAGCTGTGTGTAATACAAAATGTTTAAGTTCAGGCTTAAGCATTGTGAAACAGCATGTTTCAGACGCTGATGCTGATGTATCATGACGTTGGGTGTGTAGCGACATACTTGTGTTTGCCTTCACACTTGGTACACATCATGGTATTCATGGCTTCCTTCAGGTCATCCTGCAGTTTAGTGAGAAACTCATTCATGGACTTTGAGAGCTCAGTTGCTGCCATGCGTTTCCTGTGTGGGAACGAAACAGACTGGTTGGTGATGTGCTACAACATTGCAGGCTAAAAGAATTTCTCCTTACCATCACTATTTTGCATAAATTGAAGGAAAGAACATGACAAATAATGCAAAGCCAGTATTCAATGAGGAGCTCATTCAATCTAAAGTGCTTAACAAAAGAAGGATGATATTCAATTCTACCAAAGAGATATTACAACTGTACATCTGCAGAAAATACTAAAGATTGTTGTGTCAGTGTAACTGACAATAGATGAAAAAAACTTTAATAAATATGTAATAAATGCAGTAAATGATTTTTGAAGAAACTTGATCTGTTTTTTGTTTTATTTTGCTTTTGTCCTATGATAACCACTTATTCTGTGTACTCACAACTCATACTCTCGTCGTGTTTCTGGGTTACTGACAATATCCCAGGCAGCCCTCAGTACTTTGAACGCCTCTCCAGCTCGTGGGTGTTTATTCTTGTCTGGATGAACCTGAAAGAGAAAGGACAGAGGAAAAGGTTACATGAGGAAAGGAGAAAGATTCAGCCTCAGATGCCGTTTATTAGTCATTATTGCAGACATCCAATAATTTGTAAAATACACAGTACTTTTAACTCAGCCACCAGCACTTCACACATACCTGGACAGCCAGCTGTCTGTAGGCCTTCTTCAGCTCAGCCTCAGTGGCATGCACCTCCACACCGAGCACTGTAAAGGGGTCGAGCTCGTCCTCTGGTACCTCGGCCAAGGCCAGCAATCTCTCCAGCTCCTGACCTGAATGGCCCCTCCCTGCTCTGCCGGGTGACTCAGGCATGGACGGAGGTACATGGCTATCCCTCCTGAATCGACTTCGAACTCTCTCCAGCAGGGACACCACCCTCTTCCAAAACTTCGACTCCTGACAAGCTGTCCAGTAGCGTTTTCCCCGCTCTCCACCAAGTCGGACCAACACACCTTTCGCCCACTGCGACCCGAGAATAACCAAAGCACAGAAAAGTCTGAAACAAGATAAGGCAGCTGTCTTTACCCACTTCACTGACCTAACAATTTTATCAACCAGGTCTGCTCCTGCGCATTTAGTCCATTTCAGAACCCGACTAGCGTCCGCCTTCATCCCCGGTATATCTGTGATCTTTACAAAGAGCTGCTGCCCAAAGTTGTAAAGTTTCACCCCTCCTGTCTCCACACCGACTCCACAATTGTGAGTTAATGTGACAATAATCTCAATCATCATGTGGACACAGGAGATGCACCAGAAACTGAGAGACTCTGACAGCATCTCCTTGAAAGCTAAGATGAGTTGGTTGCCTGTCCGCCGGCGGCCCCGATTCTGCTGATGTTGGTGGTGGTTACGTCTGCGGGTCTGCTTGTGCCGGCCACCACTGGACATAACATTGCCTTTTTGAATGGAGGCAAAAGCACTTTGACTGCTCTGCTCGGAAAATGAACCGCTGCTCTTCAGTTTGAACCTCCGGCCACTTCCCACATTCCTCCAACCAGACTCTCCATTCATGTGCTGCTCCTTCACAGTTTCATCCTCTTCTTGACTTATAAATTGCGAGTTTTCATGATCTGCAGTGCTGTCATGCTCGAACCCATCTGATGCCTCCTCAGTTTCCTCTTTGGCCTCTGTAGATCCACAATACTCTGTTTCACCAAGTCCAGAGTCTTGTGGAGTGGCTGGGTTTGGGGTGTCCTGAGATTTGAGACAGGCTGTTTTGTCCTCCTGCTCGGAGTCATCATCAGTCTCTCTTGTCTCACACTGACTAGATTTGGTCACTAAGGTGGAATCACCATCAGGGATCTCCTCGTCAGTGTCTGTAACGCCATCCATCTCCTTCTCGGCTGCTTCCCTCTCCATGTTCCTTACAGCTGTTTGACGGAAGCGCTGTGAAACTGGAAACTCATGGAAGATGACATCCTAGATCCATAATCTGTGGCAACATTTTCCCCAGACTCACACAAAAATGTGAGACTGGGGGCTCCCGAAGGTCTGTCTCAGGTTCACCATATCAGCAGCCACTTCCAGGTGTCAAAAGGCTTTTACATGCCTAACAGCTCACATCATGCATCAGGCTGTTTCCTGAAAAGCAACAGAATGAGGTATAAATCAGAAGTCATTTATATCACAGTAAACCATTTTACACTTTCTTAAAAAGTAAAATCACTAAATTTGATGGAAACGTAAGAGTAGTAGGTGATACTATTTATTTAGCAAAGAACAGACACTTTCAAGTCAGTGTGTGAATCAACATCACAATATAACACTACTCAAACCATGACAGATTTTATCCATATCATCCATCCCCAAAGAGCAGTTAAATTGAAATTATTGGTCAGTTCTTCAGCTGATTGACAGAAAATGAATCACCAACAATTTTCACTACTTCTGGGTTTTGGACTGCTGTTAGGGGAAAACGAGACATTTGAAGACATCAAACTGGGATCAATTTAGCAAAAAATAATAATTTATTAATCGGCTATGCAAGTAATCCTTACAACCCAGGGAGCAATGGTTAAGATTCAGTAACGCAAACAAGGCTCCTGAAATGTCATCAAGAGGAAAACTATGTATTCAACACATTCATAATAAATAAAGACTAGATTTGGGGGTGTGAAAAGGTAAACTGCCACTATAATATTACCACTATTATGATTCCAGTTCACCACGACTGTGTAACATGAAGGCTCCTCTTCACATATGAAACATGCTTTTAGGTTTGAGAGGAGCTGTTCCTGAAGGAATAAACTAAGACCGAATGACTTCATTAATGATTAACTTACATGAGATGTAGCTACAGGACGCGACCTTATGTATCCAGCCGTTATAGAAGTGATCAAGTTGATTAAGATGTTCAGACATTGCAGATTACATTAAATTACACTGTTTTGTTGTTTGCTAATTCAGTTAGCCAAAGAGAAACACGCTGTATCTAAAAAAAAACGAGCTGCAGCAACAAACGTTTGACCTTTCAGAGGCGATAAAAACCGGGAAGAACAAAGCCACCAGAAAACGGTGAACCCTGTTTGACAAACCTCATGTCAATATATTCCTGATAACAAGAGCAGATGTTTTACAGGCGGCTAATGTTAGCAGGCAGCCAGGCTGTTAGCATGAAGAGGAAGCAGCCAACCAGCTGGACGACAGACAGGAGCTAAAATTAGCTTGCCTCTGACTGGCTAACCTGACAATATTTCGACTAAATAAGGTCTCAAACGAGGATAAAACGACAGCACAGCAGTTAAGTGTTAACGCCTTTAGCTAGCAAACAGCCAACCGAGCAGCTAACCGTTAGCTACTAACAGCATAACGAGTCTGACTAGCTAATATTAACGCCTGTCGCCTCCTGTGGGGTCTGACGAGTAAGATAAGGCATGTTTAGGACACTAGGCGAGTCCCGTAGGTAGGCACATTATTTTGCATTTTGCAGTCAAACAAACTAGATGTCATATATACCTCTCAGAAAACTGTGTAACCTTGTTTGTTAACAGACAGCCAAGTGTCCGTGTTGTTTTTTTTAGCTACTTCTTCTTCTTCTGCTCCTTTTCCTACTTCTACCTATTTCTTCCTAGTCCTCGTCCTCCTTCCCGTTCTTCTTCTTCGATTATTTCTGACAGCATTACACAAGAGAAGGACACTACTGCCATCTGTTGCTTTAGCGGTATAGCTGATAAAACACACTTTGACATGCTGTTTCATACAGTATATAGGTTTTCCTTGATAAAGCAAGTAAACCCTCTCCTAACATTTCATGTTTTTATTTCAGTGTAACCACCAAATTAAACAACCTATATAGGGTACCACAACCCATTACACTTTTACATGGAGAGATTATGAGACAAAGGGCACCTGAGCAGAAAAGGCCCCTCAACCCTCCAAGACAGGAGCAAGACCTAAAAACCTTTGTGTCTTGTTGTAGCCGTTTTTCCGTCTCTGTCTTTGTGGTCATGATGTATGGCTTTGTAGATGTTTTGTTTCTCTTTATTAGTTGAATTGTGTCTCTGTAGTCATTGTATATTTCTTTATAGTCATTTTGCATGTCTTCATGCTCATTTTGTGTCTCTTCTCAGTCTGACTTTACAACAAGTAATGTTGACAGTCACTTCAAACAAAGCTCTGGCCCAGGGACCTCTGAGCCCTTTTGGACACCCCTGTTCACATAACCTGGTGTAGGTCCCTTAGTTCCTGAAAGGGAATCAGCTATTATATTGCACTCCCATCTTATTTGTGTGAATTGACCCTTCACCCTGGCAAAGAACTATTTATAATAACAGCACTAAAAAGTACTGGAGTTTCAAAAAATAAAATAAAAACAGAAGCACCGTTCAGTAAAATCCTCATCTGTCACATCTGTTCATTGTTCTCTGAATAAGCCAATTGGCCTTGTGTTGGTGAGATTTCTTGTTCAGGGGTCTTTCACATGGCACAGTTCTGGGAACCCCCCAAAGCTTCTGCATAATGGGTAAATCTTGAAGACGCAGAGGGTTAATTTCAAGCCCCCACCACCACCACCCACATCTCCAATTTGAAAGCCGCCTCTCTACCGGGAGAGGAAAGCTCTTTTTCGGTCAGATGGCGTGCTGCAGTCCGCCCCCGTCATTCTCCAGCCCACACAGACAGCAAAAAGGCAGCCAGCAACCAATACGGTGCGCCGGAGGAGGATTTCTGCCAGTGATTTCAGACGAGGTACAATACGCAAAGGGGATTTACTACGCCAATCTGAGCCTGGGAAGCTTTCGGCAAAAGGTAACAGGGTAAGAAACGAATAGGATAATAACTGCGTTGTGTCTTTGAGCAGAGTGCTTTCTGCTAACATCTGGCTCGGGGACACTTGCCCCCAGTCGATGTTTTTTTATCTGAACTGGAACCAATAATCCAAGTGTTTCTACTTTAGTGTAACGTGGCTTTGTCTAATCGATCAAGCGACAGTTTGTAGTTTCCATTTCTTTATGTTTTATCAGTTTCGCTCCGGCAGTACCGACCTGTGACATCGGTATTTGGAGAGACACATCTGCGTAATTACGCCGGTCTCCTCTCTGCACGTCCGTCTGCCTGACCTGAAGAAGGTAAGAGAGGTTTATACTCAACCATTTAACCGTGTAAATGAAAAACATGTTTAATAGGGTGGAAACAGTTGATCGTTATCTGAAGGACGCGATTCTGCTCCAAAGCATGCATTCACTTCCTATATTTTTATTCAGGCTTCATCAAGCTAGAAGAAATTTGAAACACGCACCTATAGGCTACTAGTCTAGATGGCAAAGTCTTTATCTAAATAAATAACTTGTGCAGGATTTCTACACCTGCAGGTTCATGTCTTTCCTTTCTCCTGCCTGAACTTTCCAGTGCCATGTCTCTGCCACGCACACTTGGGGAGTTGCAGCTCTATCGGGTGCTGCAGAGGGCAAACCTGCTGGCCTATTATGAAACCTTCATCCAGCAGGGCGGTGACGACGTGCAGCAGCTCTGTGAGGCAGCAGAGGAGGAGTTTCTGGAGATCATGGCACTAGTTGGCATGGCCACCAAGCCACTGCATGTGCGTAGGCTGCAAAAGGCTCTCCGAGACTGGGCGGCGAACCCTGCCCTCTTTAGCCAGCCCGTCTCCAACGTCCCTCTGGGGGGCATCCCACTGTTCAAAGTGGACGGGACAGGCACAAGTGGATCAGCAGGCGGGCCCAGGAAGTCTGTGAGCAATGGGCACCCAGGGTCACCCAGTGAAAGGGAGGATCGGGCATGTCTTACTCCAATGCACAGTGGCAGTCCAAGAAGCCCCTGCTCCCAGGCCTCCCCACAGCCACCAGACACACACTACAGGGAAAAACTGTCACCCATGGACCCACACTGGCTCAGCCCAGAGCCAGATGGGAACTGCACTTTGGCTTCTGCATCTGGAATAGACGAGGAGCCGCCCAGCCCACCTATGCTCTCAACGTGTCCTCCTGGTCCCTCCACATCTCCGAGCCCCTCTGCTTCTTTTGCCCCAGCTGCCCTGTCAGCCTGGCCCGGAGGACAGCTGGACGGGGAAACGGCGAGGGCAGTGGTGGAGAGCGTGGAAAGGCTCCTCAGGACCCTGCCCAGGTCAGATCCTGCAGAGGTGAAGACTTTGCTGAGGATGAACAAGAAGATGGCAAAAACTGTGGGGCACATCTTCAAAATGGGGTCCCAGGATGTGAACAAGGAAGAGGAGATCCGAAAGTACAGTCTCATTTATGGACGCTTTGACTCCAAGAGGAGGGAAGGCAAGCAGCTCACACATCATGAGGTAATGAGCATCAAAGACAAGAGCTGAGTTGAAGTGTTTGACTGTATCACATCATGTTTCATACCTACAACAACCTGGTAAAGAAAAGTTCACATTATAAACCAGCAGCTTTAATCAGGCAAAACATTTCAAACAAAGATGAGCACATTTTTTGCCTAGATGTCATTCTTCACAGTGTCCATCCCTCCCTCACTCAGTGTTTTTCCTCCTCAGTTGATCATCAATGAAGCTGCAGCCCAGTTCTGTATGCGTGACAATGCCCTTTTGCTGAGACGGGTGGAGCTCTTTTCTTTGGCTCGGCAGGTGGCGAGAAAATGTGCCTACACCTCCACACTAAAGCACGCAAGGTAAGGGCGATGCCTGTAGAGAAGAGTGATCTGTTCAGTAGCAACCGATGATGAGCACACCTCACACCAGCTGTGTATTGACAGTCTCAAGAAAACGATCCGTTAGAGAATCAGGAATATAGCTCTCAGTGTAGATGAAAACAAAGGATGGACCCTCATAATGTATTCAAGGCAGAGGAGCATCATGTTAGCCACATGTGAATAAATGTTAATGAAATAATTTCATATCTGAAAAAGCACATATTGTATTTAGCATATATCGACATGTACCGGGTGGTTTACATGAGTCATCTTCCCACCAGTGTATTCATTTTCAGAATGAACCTGGTTCAGATCACAGTGGGAATTAAACTCCAACCTCTGTAGTGTTAGTTTAATGAGCTGACTCTGGCACCACGCAGGAATACACAAACCTTGTGAGTTCGTTAATGTTCACAAAACATTTTCACATAGGCTATATGTTTGAAGGAAAATACCAGCTCAAACAAACCAACATGCTGCACAGACTAAATTTATTGCATCAAGTAACAACAGAGCACAAAAAGATTTTTTGATCATCATATTTTTCATTTATCATAGCATATCAGATTTAAGATTTCAAATGTCTCTTTTCCTGTAGGTATAATTTCATCCTTTATTATTCCATTGGATCCTTAATTCCAGAGATTATTTTACATTGTTAATAGTGAAACGATGAAAAAGAGAAATTTGAACATTTAAAAAATGTGAATAATGAGTTCAACGTCTGCTTATTGCCACTTGGCATTCAAATATTTACCATATGTGCATATGCATGTGAATAATTATGGTAAATGCAGCACATAGTTGTGGTTAAATCTGTGTTCCAACAACACAAATTACACAAATCACACTATAACACTGTCTTGATTTGACCAAAAACTCTACTTTGGTGCGCTCAAGGTCTCTCTCCGGAGATTCAATTCACATCTCAGGGTCTTCCTAAATAAATTGAGCTTCCACATTTGAATGGCTCGATTGTTTTCTTCTCGCAGGACAAATGCAGATGAGAACAGTGTGGTGTCCCAAAAGAGAGCGAGACATGAGGTGAGTCTTCAGGACGGCAGTGCCTCCAGTTAATAATATTCAGTTAATGTTCAGTTAATCTAGCAGACACTAGATTTATGTGTGATTTTAACCTGTGGCACTTGTCCAGGCATTTGAAGTGGTCCATCGGCGCTGAATTGACAGTGATGTGTTTCAGATAATTCTGCCTGAGAGTGTGTCATCGCTTCTCGGAGTGGAGAGCTCAGAGGGCTTGACCCAGAGGGCAGACGACGACAGCTTATCTGCAGAAAGCCTCGACAGTGTATCGCATGGTAAAGACCTCAGATATATGTCATAGAAAAACTACATTTTTTGTGTGTTTTGAAGGCAGCATTTACACCCAAATCTGTCTGTCCCGTTAGACACGGGCTCACAGTGCAACCAGTCTCCTTCCCCCCGTCCCCACTCCGACACCTCCAACCCTGCCAACTGGAGTCGCCACCTCATACAGCAAACGCTAATGGACGAAGGGCTGCGATTGGCTCGGATGGTGTCACACGATCAGGCTGGCAAGATCAGCCTAGGGTCAGAAGGAACTCACTCTACAGGTGACTTTTCAAATAATGACTTATCAATATTATGTGCTTCATAATGGACACAGAATTAAAGCCTCACTTTGCAATGTTTGATCATCGTTGTGCGAGTTAAACGAATAGTTTTACATTTTCGGAAACACTGTACACTTATTCGCATTCTGGCAGAGTTAGATTAGAAAATTGGTGCCACTCTCATGTCTGTACATAAGATATGAAGCTATCACCAGCAGACAGTTAGCTTAGCTTAGCATGAGGGCTGGACGCAGGAGGAAATAGCTAACCAGGCTCTGTTCAAAAGTAACAAAATCCAAGACCTCTAAATCTTACCTATTATGTTACACCTTGTTTGTTTAATCCTCAGAAAAATCAAAGTGTTGAAATGACACCCTTGACCTCTCTTGCCGGGAGCAGTTTTGCACTTTGGTATTTGTAAGGCTTCAACAAGAGAAAACCTGTAAACTAGTGAGCTTTAGAAATGCTGGTAGGCATCTTTTCATACCTTCGAACAAAGCCAGGCTAACTGTGTCCACCTGCTTCCAGTCTTTATGCTAAGCTAAGCTAACTGACTACTGGTGGTAGCCTCATATTTAATGTATAGGCATGAGAGTGGCATCGATCTTTGCATCCAACTCTTGGCAAGAAAGCAAAGAAGCACATCTCCGAAAAATGTCAAACAATTTCTTTAAGTTGGAAATGGAGGGAGCATTAAAAAATATGGAGTTGACGTTGGGGTTAAATTGAAAATGACAGACTTAGACTCCCTAACCTCTCCTAACAATGAATATTTCATATCGCTACAGCTTGAACTCTGGTGAGTCACAATCTCTCTGAGGTGACGCCTCCCACCATGCACAGCTGAACTTCACCAGCCTGTAAATTAGAGAGGACAGAAGTTAGAAGGGGAAACAGAAGGAGGTGGAGAGAGATATATAGAGAGGAAAGGAGTGAGAGAAGGAGGTTAGAGTGGGTGGGGGGGTGTGGGGAGGGGGGTTACACTGTTATAGCACTTCTTCAATACCCTGTTACTGTAGAGTTTTCCTGTTGCATCACAGCTTCTCACAAGAAAGAAAAAAGCAAGTGATCTGGGCAAGTTACTGGTTCTGGGCTGTGATAGCCAGTTGAAGACATGAAGCAAAGAGAAGGAAGCCAGCAAAGACATGAGGGGGTGGGGGGTGGGGGGGGATAGGAAGTACTCTGTGGGCGGCGGAATCGGACCCCCCCCCCTCTCAGCAGCAACTGACGTCAGAGTGTGTTAGATGCGTGGGCTGAAGGGCGGGATGGATGGGGCGTGGGGGCGAAGGAGTGGGAGGTAATTGGAGGGGCGTTGCATTGACTCACCAAGCGACAGTGTACAAAAATAAAACCTGTGGGCAGGGAAATGGCACAGTCTTTTTTATACATCTTCTCCCTCTACCAAAAGGACTGCGGAAATAACAAAAAAAAATGACATATGTTTCATTTCTGACGTCGATCTCCCTCACGTTGTGTTTTTTTTTCTCTCTCACTCATCCAAGTTTCCTACTTCTGCCTCTCTCATTAATCAGAACGTTGTCTCACTTCCTTTCAACGTCACTGTTTTCTCCCATAACTTATCTTCCACTGTTGGTTTATCCAGTCAGCATATCATTCTGCGTACATCACATTAACATTTAAATCATGAAGTCAGAATCCTTAATCCAGTAAATCTGCCCACCTGTATTTTTATTTGTATGTCACTGAATATGTGCTATTAAATTTTTGTGGTACTACAAATAACATTGTTCATATATTATTATATTACTGCATGCTGTTACAACACATGAGCACTCAGGGTTTCTAAAGGAGCAAACTAATGAATTGATAGTCAACAAATGAACATTGTTTGATTCATAAACAAAAGGGAAACACTCTGGATGCTATTAAGAATTCAAACATTAAGATACTGTTGTAAAGTGTCATATGCAGAGGTGGCAAGAATACACAGAGTCATTTACAAAATGTGTGTTTATTCAGAGCTCGTCATTGCAAACTAATGAATGCCCTTCACAAGTAATTTTCCAATAAGAATATAGAATGAAAGTCAAGTTTTGTTTATTTCACTATCTTGTTCACTGAATTGGTTGATTTCATCACTACTTTATCACCAGCCAAAAAATATTTAAACTCTGCAACACTGGAGACTTTATGTTATTCAGTAGCTTGGGTTGGTCATATAAACCATGATGACTTCATTTCATGTGGGAGAGTCTCTTGCTGAATTCCCCAAACTATTATTCAGAGATCTTAAAACTGGTTGCATCTTGACTCTTAACTGATTTTTATCCTTAGTTGTCTGTCTTGTCATTGCAGTGCTATGCGCTTCTCATTTTGCAATCATCTGTCTTAAACAACAGCATCAAATCCAAAGAAATTATCTTCAAAAACATATAAAGCTATAGTTATTATTGTTTTTCATAATCTTCGGCTAGTTGACATAACTCATAGTAAATTTTACTGTGTTGCAGACTTCTAAGCCGATCCATTCATGACCTAAAAACAGTGCTCAGTGCTTTGTAAATACATGTCAGTGGTTCTCGATCTAGTATTTGTTCTTTAAGCAGCTGCTAAGCTCATCTTAAACTTTACGTCTCTCCACAGACCATGACATTAAAGTGGAGAGGCGCAGCTCGATAACAACGTGCAGGAGCAGTAGCCCTTGCATCACCAAAGATGACTCCAACCACCGGGGGAAATGAAAGTGCTCTGAGGTTATCAGGGAACTCGTTGTGCTCAGACCTACCACTGAACTCCAGTCAAAGTCTGCTGTACAGGCTGTTACTGAGCAGGTTTTTCCATGTGTACTTCACTGACATCACGAGCATCTGATTGTGAGAAGACCACAAAATCAGTACAGTTGATGTCAGAATTTACCAGCGACTGATATCACAAAACTGCAGTGACTTCTAAATGCTGAAGTTGTGGATCAAGTTAAAAAATGTTCTGTTTTGACTTTATATTCGGTAAATATGTAGGGGAGACACTTTTCATTTTATTTTTAAAACACATGCAGAGTTTAGTAAAAAAAAAAAAAAAAAAAAAAAAAAAAAAAATTAATTGATTTTATCAGGGAAAAACCTGATATTTATGTTTAATTAATAAATCTATTGTGAGCAGTGCTGTGTTGAAAAGAAGCCACCTGTTTCAGATGAGGCTTGACACAGCAGGGGGCACTGCAACTTTGGAAATGGACTTTCTTAACTTAATCCAGCCTGATTGACAAACTAGTTCTGTAGAGGGAATTTGTTTGTTTTTTTCTCTCTCTCTCTTTTTTTTTTATAAGAACATTTTTATCAACATTTTCAGCAAGTACAAGAGTATGATAACATTATCTGCAGTTCATCACCCTCAGGAAACAAGTTCTGGTTTCTGACAGAAGTCAGTGTAGTAGTCTGGAGATTAAGTCAGGCGTGAATGATATTCCTTGACATTCAAAGACAGTCTACTTACATGAAGTAGGAAAACGATGAGCGTTTGTGGAATAAATTGATCTAATCTCGCAGAGCATAAACACAAATGCAGCTGTCAGGCTCAGAGGCCTTTTGTCCTTCGATGCTTCATCTAACCAGCCGTCAGATCTGAACAGGCATGCTGAGGTCCATGAGATATGAAGCCACCAGTCTTCATCATTTACTCCCTCACATCTTTCTTTAATAATATTTGTTGCACAAATGGCTGATATGGTGTTTGTAAGAGATAATGCTTCTGGCATTTTATTATTTTCAATCATGTGAAAATGTGCTCAGATCACATTTTCTAAACTCAGTGGCATGAAATAAGAATACAGACAACTTTATTGATTTCCAGTCGAGAGTTGATTTTTTTCAGTTGCTCTTGCTGCAGTGAAATCAGGTTTCAGACTCACTGAGCAGCAGAGCTCAGTGTCTTGCTTAAGGGCATTTAAGCAGGGAGGGTGTTCTCTTACTTTGGGGCTTTGACATCAGCTCCTCCTCCCTCTCATCGACACATTCAAGTTGTGCCCAGTAGGTGCCATTGTACAGCCTTTTGATTAGACTGCATCCAGAACTGCATCACCAGATTTAGGGAATAAAAAGGTTAAAAACAACATGAACCACAGCATTTTCAAAAAGAGTGGTGATTAGTGTAGATTTTTGATGCAATTTTTTTTTTTTTAGGTGTAGCAGAAAAATGTGGGCTGTAGCGGTGTGTCTTTGGGATGATTTCTGTATTCTTAGATATTAACAAGGTGAGCCTCATGTTAGTTTCCCTTTTTAAAAATAGTTCTTTTCACCTTTGAGACGTACAGTGAATTAGGGTGACGAATCTCACTTTACTTTATAAGCTTTTGCTGAGATTTACAGAAAGAAATCTTATGGTGCTTGACTTTTGATACAGCAGCTCCTGTTATTTATTTCCACCTGTTGTCCCTTATAAGGAATTGTTGAAATGTGATCAAATTTCATGTAACGGCGAGGCTCATGTTGATAATTAATGAAAATGTTAAGATTTTTGTACCTTTAATCACAGAGTATGTCAGTGAGGTAGCTTGCTGTGCATCAGTTACACCTGCCTGTCTCTTGAGCATTAGTAACCTCCTCAGTTTATTATGTTGCAAAACAGATTATTTATTTTGTTACATCTCAATAAATGTTATTTTATTGCTTAAAGCCACTGTGTGTTGCATTGGTTTCCACAAAGAATCAGTTTTTATTCTCGGGTGTTGGAAGAAGCTGCAGGAGCTGCGTCATACAGCCAGCAACACCTCTGCTGTTGTCCTGTCTGTTGCACTGACGCGCTGCATCGAGACTCAACACTGGTGTGACTCACCTGTACCAGTGATGTCATCAGGGCTCTCACGCACGCACGCGCACGCACACACACACACACACACACACACACACACACACACACACACACACACACACACACACACACACACACACTAAATTTTCAGTCACCATGCACCATGAAAAGGAAGACACACAGGCCAAACCTCACATAACCCTATGGAATTCAGCTTTAATGATTTTTAGTTTATTTCACTGTAGAGCCTGTATTTGTAACAGGGAATCATAAAGGCTTTTCACACAATGTGTTTGGATATTAAAGGTTAGAATTAAGCGTTGCTATTACTGTTCTTTTACGGTTCTTTCATGGTTTCCAGATGATGATCGACTTTGATGAACCCCGGACTTTTTCTCTAGCGCCACCATGAGGTCGATATTTTTGGGGTTTTTATTATTGAAATATCTTGTATTACATGGATTGCCATGGAATTTGCCACACACATTCATGGTCCCCAGAAGATGAGAAGAGAATGACAATGCTCACATGCTAAATGAAACATTATCCTCGCTAAACATCGACATGCTAGTATCGTCACTGTGAGCTCGTTAGCATGCTGACATTAGCATGACTGAGGACTCTCAGTTGTGTCACTGCATTACACGTCCTCCACCGCTGAACCAGCATCTAAAGAAACATGCTCAGATGTTAATGATGATGTTTATGGAAAAAAAATTGCCTTTTGATTATACAAGAGGAATTACGTCCGAGTTGGGTTTCTTTACTGGAAGCAACAGTTAATGTGGAAACTGATGAAGGGAGGAGGCGCCGCCATCAATCAGCTGTCAGCACCACTAATTTAGGGAGTTAAATCTTTGAGTCTATTCTTAGCTTCGGTTCCTAAGGGCTGTGCAGCAGACAGATGATTGATTTAATGCTCGTCTGCAAACATTCAACAAGATGTACATTGATTGGTCATGAAATTAGGAAGTCTAATTATCTGCATAACACAATACATATATTTAAATATTTTGCAGAATCTGCATTATAAGCACAATGAGCTATTGCATACAAATCATGTAATACAAATGCAGGCAGTGCTTATTTGCAGCTTAACAACGCTACCAGTGTCTGCAAAAGAAGAATTTCTCTCGTCAATAAACTGAATCTGATTAAATTAATTAATGTGGAAGGAGTCTCTTACGCTTCAGTCCATCCACTAATGAAGGTCGGTGCCGTCAGAGTAGGAGAAAATACTACAAACAGTTCAATGGGCTTCTTCTTAACAACTGAAACCAAATAAGATACTGGAGCACACAAATCACTTTAGCAATTTAATGATCAGGTGCAAATGACTTTCACACTGCGTCTTCTTCAGGGTCAAACAATAATGGTATAGTTTGGAAAAAAATAATTGAATTTAATCTAATTTGATTCATGTTTGAATGAACTGTAGTTTGTAGTTAAATTAATTAACGATTGTGCTTAATCTGAGTTTGAGAAGATCATTCAAAGGATGCGATAACTAAAGCAAACAGGATAAAACAGGGATCAACCAAGACCCCCCACTATCATACTCTGCACTAAGAATACAAATGCTAAAGTTACAGGTATACACAGGTGCAATATTGACTGGTTAGTGACAACTGAACCCATTTCAACCAACAGGTTACCAACAACAACAAAGTGAGATGCAATATTTCCATAATTGCACATACAATGGAAGCACAGGAAGACTATTTCCATCGTTCATTGTACATCTCAGAAAAAGCATCAGCATGTGCACAGTTCATCCATAGGCTAACAGCTAACTATATTAAGAACAGATCCATTTCAATGTTGTTTCCAGAGATCAGGTTAACTGAGTTTTACCTTCTCCACCACAGCATACGAACACATGACTCATATGTTAGGAGGAAAAGCAGGATCAGCTTTCCTTAGGTGATGTGCGTGTGGAGATGCCGAAGGAACTCCCCTCTGGTGGTTGTGTCACTGGGGAAAACGGCCTGGCAGAAGTCGCAAACGTGAGACTGCAGCACCACGTCTGACATCAGCATCCCGCCAGACTGACTCATGAAGCCACCGACCAAGGGGGAACTGCCAGACACAGGCATCTGACACAAACATAGAACACAAGACAGGGAGTTTGTGAGGAAGAACATGGGGGAAAGAAAATCAAATCCAAGGACAGATTGGAGAACTCATGGCCACAAGTGGGATTTTTGTCTGCCGAGGACACCTACCCTCGCTGTGTGCAGAGTCCTGTCTCTACCAGGATGATCTGCTTGCCCTGGATGTTTTGATCCACTGGAGGAGGCGCCTTGCCACTTCGAGCAGTCCAGGGTTAACAGGGGTGCGACCTTCTGTTCCAACTTCCCTTCCTCCTTTCTCTGAAGAGGCAAATCCACGCAAAGCTTGGACATATCTTCAGCAAGGAGATCAGAGAAAGTCCCCACGTTTCTGGAGAGGTGATGGACGCCACACTGTGCGTCAGGGTTGTGTGCTGCGGCTGTTAGTGGTTGAGGCTTTACATGGACATACACAGGGATCTCGTGTGTACACTGGATAGGGATGGACATCATATCGCCCAGATCTCCATTAGGAACAGTGGCACCTGCAGAAAGAGGGTTTTAGATGTGCTTAATGAATCATGGCAGACATGAAATGAGCATTAGAATTAGGTTTTATATGGACCTTGCTGTTTCTGCAGAGCTGTTGTGAGTTGATGCAACAGAGCCGCTTGTCTCAGGCAAAGTGACCTCAGGCGAAGAAACTCCTGGTACAGTTCGCTGTACGCTTCCTCCATCTCACCAGCTCAGGGATCTGCAGCTACTAAATAGCAGAGAGGAGATTACACTGGGTTGTACAGTAGTAAATATAGCTAGAATATACACTGTACACATGGGTGACAAATGAGGAACAGAACTTAGTATGTACAGCCCAGCAGCTTTGTCAGGCTGTACTTCTGCACAGCAATACTTTGTACTATATGCTGATGTCAGTGTGCTAACATGCTCATAATGACAATGCTAACAGGTTCATTTTTAGAAGGTAAGGGGGCGCTGTTTCATAACTGGGGACCTTTTTGGCATTTTCCCATTATTAGTTTTTTATACAATCGAGATTTCCTGCTTCCTAAACCATTAGGCCATGAGAGGATGCCCTGCCATTGGTCTTTTATAAACACATAACCAAAACATATTCTACTAAGTCAGATTGATATGATTATTAATTCCTACTTTTGTCACACTGCATCTTGAACATCAATACTGATCTACTTACCCCTTGTAAGCCCGTCTGCATGCTCTGCTTCAAGAATTCAGGACTCCTTGTCATTTCTTACAAAAGCTCGATTCAGAGACTTCTCCTGTCGAGCTTCCTCCATCTCAAACAGGCCTCCTGTTATTGTCAAGGAATCAGACACAGCATTTAAATCCAGACTCAAAGCCCATTTACTGAGCACAGCCTACAACAAATTTGTGACCGTGAAATCCATTCTTCAGATGAGGCTTTAACAACCACAGTTATGATGAGTCCTTTTCTTCCCTGTTGTGCTAATGGAAATTATGCTGTACCTATGTAAGATACATCGCAAAGGGAACTGTTAAACATAGGGAAGTAGCTCTTGTAAAAAGGGAAGTGAAACCTCTTTAGTATAGAAATGAACTTCACCACCTCTCAGTTAGACTGTTACATGACTGTCTGTGTGTCAAAACTCAGAAGAGGAAAGAGCCCAGCTATGTTTTTAATATAAAACACAAGCACAAGCACAGCGTTTGTCTCAGCTTATGAAAGTTGCTTTGTTGTCTCTGCAAAGAATGTGAAACAATATTTTTAGTGAGCTGCATCATTGTCATGGAGGAAAACAACTGTGAGGGGTCAAGAAAGTTTCCCAAAGAAGTCACTCAGGAATATGTTTCATTTGTGAAGGCGTCCTGAAGGGACTTTTTTTTTCAGTGGTTTCATGATGGCCATTATGAAAAGTTGCTATCATTTGTAATTTAATAGACAGAAGCACCAGGCAGGTGTTTATTTATGCTTTGCAACCAAAGTGACTGCACTCTCAACAGGCACAATGTTATAGCTACTTCCAAAAAAACAAGACAAAGAGCATTAATAAAATTCATAATTCATCTAATGAATGTATCTAATGCCTCACCATCAGTGATGGAGGAACCAGAAAGTAGCAATCATGTAAAATACAAGTAAATGTCCAACATTCAACAATTTACTTAAGTATTTAAGTATTATCAGCAAAATATTTAATATTAACAGAAAAGGCACTTATTATGCAGGAGAATGACCCCAGCCAATGATATATTGTATTATAATATTGCATTGATTATTGTTGATGTATTAATTTATATGGAGCGTTTACTGTAGCAGCTGGTAGAGCTACTGTTGTGTAGTTTCATCTGTAGCAATGCATCATATTTCAGCAGATTACTACATGTTTTGTATGTAAAGTAACTAGACAACAGTTCCAACTGTCAGATAAATTTAAGGAAGTAGTAGCCTAAAGCATGTACTAGAAACACCTAAGTAAAGTACTTTAGTATCAATAGTAAAATCATACTTAAACACAGTACTTAACTAGATGTAATTAGTTACTTTCCAACACTGCGTACCACAAGTATGTCATGTGTCCCAGAGTAATTCATCAGAGTGTAACTGTCAATCCTGATACAAAGTCAAAAATGTCTTTGCTCTGACACAAGCTCACAAAGATGGTGGGTTGACTCTGTTCAAAAATAATGGTAATTTGTTTCCATTTACAGCTTTTTGTTTTCATTCCATGTCTCCAGAATGCATCAAATCCAAACGTAGATAAGCTCTACCCCAGGAGATCTTCTTCTCCAGTGACACATAAAGTGGCCTGTGTGGAAATGTCTCTTCAGTTTAATGAGTCCCTCTGCCCTCATTCCTTGTCATGTTTTCATGTTTCCTTCCCTTTCCCCCTACATTCTCGGGTGTGCTACTTTCTCATTCACTTACTTGTTTGTTCCTATATATATTTTTAACGGTGGCAGAGAATCAGCTCCTAAGCGCCTAGTGTTAGCCTCTATCCGCCCTTAACATGAATCACAACTGTGTGTGTGTTTTTCTGTCTTTGGAAATGTGGAAACGAGGAGTCACACTTTTAACTTGTTTGCTTAGTTTCGATTTTGGTTTCAAACGAAATTCGTTTTGTTTTCTTCTTCTTCTTTTCGCAGCCTTTAGACATAGATCATGTGAGGAGAGTTGTTTACTGTGAATCATATGTAAAATTAAAATTACTCACACTCAAACCGAGAGATCATTACCAGCAGGAACTGTAGGCTCAGACATATGACGGATGTGACTGAATCTCCCCCCGACCGGACCGGAAGACATCCGCATTCCAATGTGATGACGTCCCTATCCCGACCTAAACAAACACCCAGTTCACCTGCGTCAAACCAAGGTAAACCGTGCCAAAATAACACTTCCTGTTTCAAAAGGCTGCTTTCAATATAAAAGTCACCACCTTTCGTGGAGATATGAATTATTCATTCAGGGAGACCTAGATTGAAAATTGGTCTCATGAAAGTGTAACAGTGGGTAAGCACCAACGGACAGTTGGATAAAATCTCAGAAATATTTTTTTTTTTTTTTTGACTTACTGGTTCTCAGTTTTAAAGTCACAAATACTGGAACCTGCTTGTATAGGTTTCACTTGCATAATGTAAACTCCCCCCAGGTCTGTAAACCCCCTAAAAGTCTGAAAAAAGTCTGTGAAAAATACAGACCCCAGTGTTTTCAAAGATTGCTTGATTTTATTGATGCCTATAAAGTAAGTTGGCCTGTGCTAAGAATCAATAATAATCAGTGCTCATCTAAATATTGTCTTTGTTACAGGTGGTGCTCCTGTGACAGTGTCCTACTTGCAAGAGAGGAGGGGAAGCCAAGGCCAAAGTTCGGCTGCACCCCAGGTTGGTTGCTTCCGGACCGGTCCATTGACTACATAAACATCATTTGATGACAGTCCTCTGAGCCATCACCATGGACTAGGCTGGCAAAACACTTAAACTTTCAGGAGGCCCAACTCTGCCTTAAGGCCACAGCACCTGAAGCAGGACCTGGCCTGCTCACAACACTTCCTGGCGCATCTGAAAACATGTTTGCTGAGAGCAATCACAATGAACCAAAACAATGAACTGACAGACACTAAAATACTTTGCAGAGCTGAGGAGAACTGCAGAGTAACTCTCTGTTGGCTCACATGCATAGTCATTTGAACCTTTGTAACATAGTTGGCTCAGCGAGGCTGTATTTTGGCACAGCAGTGCTTTGAGCTAAATGCCAATCATGCTGACAATCACAGTTTTAGGATGCGGATGTTTAGCAGGTATAATTAGTGTAATTATTAAGTTAGCATGTAAGCATGATATTTGGTAACTCACAGTAAACATGAAGTGCACCTGAAGCTGATGGGAAAACCATTAGTTTTGCAGGTATTTGGTTATAAACCAAAGTATTGGACATATTAAAACTTTCACTTCATGATGGCACTAGATGAAATGTTAAGGAGTCGCCAGAGTTATTCCAGTTTATCCCGAGGAACATGAACATGTGTACCAGATTTCATGGCAATCCATCCTATAGTTGTTGAGATATTTCAGTCAAAGCAACAAATATGAACCTTAAGGTGGCGCTAGATTGAAAACTTTGATAGTTGATCTGTAGAATTCATCATCTGGGAATTGTGAATCATCACAATCCATTCAATAGTTATTTCCATCTGAACTACAGTGGTACATTGACATCAGATTCACATTGCCATCGAGCCAGTAGGCGTTACGTTGCTTGCCGACAGGTGTGTTGAGCTGGCGCCACTGTGAAAAGAGCTCTTCATGAGGATGTTTAGTCATGTGTTTAGTCCCGTTTCCTCAGGGAGTATTCAGTGTTTGTGTGTGTGTGTGTGTGTGTGTGTGTGTGTGTGTGTGTGTGTGTGTGTGTGTGTGTGTGTGTGTGTGTGTGTGTGTTTGTTTGTGTGTGTCATTTTGGGCATTCAGTGTTGGCATTCAGCATTGAATGTGCCTGATACTGATTTTAAAATAGACCAGCATTAAGGCAGCGGAGTCCTGTGGGTGGCAGAGTATCTTCCATACCATCAATCCACTTAGAAGGAACAGCAGTTTTTGCCCCCAGTGTCAATCCCTGACAGCTGAGTTCACAGGCACCACCTTGTGATCTTAGATGGGTGCCAGCTCCCTCTGCTTCAGACTGGTTATGTAACTCTGTGTGTGCGGGATGGGCAGCCTTCATCTCTCTGATACTGGCAGAGTCACGTCTTTGTCATGTCTGTTCTTATCCAACAGGAGCCATTTTTGTTGTCACCTGCTTTTTGGCTGATAAAACAGTTGTTACCATGTATGGCTTACAACAAATTAGTATCATTTTGTTGTGTTGTTAAACACATTACGTGCTTGCTGACCTTGCTGTACTGATTTTACATCTGCAGTGTATTGCTATGTGTCATCTGAGGTCAATTTACATGGCCTGATTGGGAGATTAAAGGAATAGTTTACCATTTTGAGACTCCTGGAAGTCACCCCCATAAGACCACATGTCCTTTTTACAATTCTGACTCTGTAAGGATTAAACAAACAAAATATATCATGTTAAAATATGGAGCTGCTGCAGAATATTTAAAATGTTGGACAGGGCCAGGCAAGCTGTTTCCCCGTGTTTCAAATCTTTATGCTAAGCTAACAATTTACTACTTTCCAGGTTCATGTTTGATGTACTGACCCTAGAGTGGTATCAATCTTCTCATCTATCTCTTGACAAAAACAAACAAAAAAACAATAAGCATATTTCCCAAAATGTTTAAAAATTACTTTAAATAGTGATACCAACTGTTTCTCATAATAAAAGGGTCATATCTTTACTAGCTCTTGTCTTGAGAACTTTATATGTTTCTAGTCACGGCAGGAACAACATTTAAACAGCGACAGAAGTGGCTCAAGACAATTGCAAAGAAAATATACACCACCTGCAGTTGAAATAAACTGACAATGACACTGGGCATGGATGAGATATTGCACAGAACACTGACCAAAGTTAAGAAGCTTCAGACTTTGTCTTTACACTGTGTGAAAATCTGCATGTTAATTCCTATTTTTAACAGCTTCTCGTGTATCCAAGGACATGTGTGATGCTTTATCACTTTCGAGGCTCTTAATGTGATACAAGTGTTAAAACTGTTCACAAAACTTTACTTCTTGTAAATCTTCTACAAAGACAATACACAGTTAGAGTTTTCATTTACATCTACTTTAAGCTGTCAGAGAGTGAATTGTTGATTGATGTAGTTATTTATATATATGTTATACCTTATACCACCCATCTGTGCTAGTGTGTTGCTGGTTTGCACCACGTGTTTGCCCTGACCTTGAACCCCTCCCTCCACACACACACACACACACACACACACACACACACGCACTCACACCACGCCCTGTCCACTAGCCCCCCTCCTCTACTGCCAACCCTTAGCACTTGATCCCTATGTTGGGGCTCTCTGAAGTGTGTGTGTGTGTGTGTGTGTGTGTGTGTGTGTGTGTGTGTGTATGTGTGTGCGTGTTTGTGTGTGTGTGGGCTATGCTGTGAATAACTTCCGGGAATGCTGCCAGGATCTGTCATCTGCTGGTGCAACACTATCCATCCTGTCAATCTTGTTTTATAATTGTAACATTCTCATATTCTCCGGCTGAGCAGAGAGAAGTTTCCAACATAGTGAGACGCACACACATACACACACACACACATACACACACACACACACACAACTACAGGATATCATTTTTTTTTTGCTAGCTGTGCTTTTCAGACAGCATCTTCAGATTTTCTTATAGTAATCAGTTTCTAAAGCAGCAGATTTATAACTTATAACAAAACTTTAAAATTTATAAAACCTCTAGTTTATGGTATGTAACAGTCAGTGATCTCTTTTGATCTTTTTTGATCTCTTTTTCCTTTACCTGCGTTGCCCCAAATACATTTTTCCTTGTTCTATATTGAACAGGTTTGCAGAACTGATTCCTCACATTGCAATAAACAGTGTGAATTCATCAAACATTACTTAACCAAAATAGTAGTGCATTGTATTCCCTTATAATATAGAGACTCAGGGCCACAAACACCATAAAAAACAGACTTAAAGTATTTATACATATTCTTCTTAGGGTAATTCAAACCAAACTTGGCTGGTGTGATCTTACAGTAAGTAAGTAACCTCTCTGTTAGTAAAAACAGCATAATGATCATTTTAAGCTTTGACATATGATATTAGTTGTTCAAGTACAACATATAAGTTCATACCCAAGGAAACATAGAGATAGCCATTAAACATCCACAGAGCAAACTGGTTTCCAGTATCCCTTTCTCTCATACACTTCAGAATGATAATTCAGCAGGCTCACCATTCACTTATGAATTTAATCCTGCAGGGACTAAGAGCTCAAGACGTGATGTGATGTGGGGCGTAGAGTTATCACAGGGATGGCATGAGCAATGATGTCTGCCAGCTCATTTATCACCAGACTCTCTCTTAGTGAGCAAGACCAGATCCAATTACAGAGGTTTCTATGGGCTCAACAATGGCCGGCTATAAATACACTCATAGAGGGTTTTCCACACTCAACAACACACCCACATACATACTAGTACTGTTGCTCAAATATACAGTACGTGTACAAATGAATGTGTGTTTGAATGAACATGACACTCTGTGTTCATCATTATCGCCTTTAAATACCACGCCAACTGCTGACACATTCATTTTTGTTTTTATCTGAAGCATATACTGCAGGGTGAGTTGCTGTGCTGAGATACATAAGATGAGTATTTGCAGAAGAGTAGGTGTGTGTGCATGACAATGTATAGAAAGGATTGGAGAGTTGAGAAAGAAAGAAAGAAAGAAAGAAAGAAAGAAAGAAAGAAAGAAAGAAAGAAAGAAAGAAAGAAACACAGAAGCCCCCACAGAGCATTAAACAGCTTCACAAAGTTATTTACAGCTCAGTCCATCAATAAACGACAGGTGCAGCATCCCCACAAACAAACCTATTAGCTTTCCTCCCACTGGAACAATATCCTCTACACACACACACACACACACACAGAGAGAGAGAGAGAGAGAGAGAGACAGACAGACAGACAGACAAACCAGTATGCATGATTTTCAAGTTACATGACTTAAAATTATGTAAAAGAAAAAGAACTAAAGTTTAATTTTTTTAATGTGCTTCATTCATTTATCCCTCTAAACTTTATTGCAGCTGCACATTCAGACATTAACAGTGAAAGGTTTTCTTGAGTAAAAGTAAGTTAGCACTCACAGCAAAATATACTTCAAGTATCAAAAG